CTCCATTTTCGAAACGTGTACGTGTCGATATTTCCCCCCCCCCCCCCCACTATTCCTTCGTCAAATACTATACTTATCTAATCCGACTCCTATAGTTCTATCCAGCACAGTTTGTGTCGGGGTTAAGTTCGGAGTAGCCGAGGCTAAAGGATTAAACAGCGGAGCGAATCAGATAGGTTACTCTCAACGATGCCTTTCGGCATTCCTAGTTTAGTGGTCGCTCGCATACTGAATACTGAATGCTGAGCCGTGCACGGTGGGATGGTTTTTAGCGTTTGCGGGTATATAATATGTAATACGGGGAAGCCCGCAAATCGTAAATAATTCGATATATTTCGGGTATAATTCCGGAATCCCGTGAAAATTATTCGGATATTCCCCGAATATCCTTTACTCTTAACGATGTCCTTTTAATTTCATTCTGGAATATCCCGTAAATCATCGGATATATTTGATATAATATTTTTACGGGACATAAGGGCTATGAAATACGGCAACAGAAGTATATTGTAGCTCGCAAGAAACGCTACTAAACTATAAAGGCTTCTCCGTGAAAGAGAGTTACCGGTCGGGTCGCTTACCAAGGTGTAGGTCAAGGAGGCACACGTATTAACATTCAACTGGGATATGGTTTAATCCTTGGAGAGTTCGGAGTCGCCAAAATGGAGTCTGAGATAAGTAAGAGGCCCGAGCCCGCATCTCAGCTCGTGGCAAGCGGCTGGAGAACGGGTTGAAGGTTGAAGAGTAACCTTGATGGTAATGTTCTCTGGTAACGTAGATTAGCTAACCGGTCTGCTCGTCTCTTACCGCCAATATTTGATGCTCACTTTGCGTCAGCCGTAACGTCTTTTCATATCTTTATCTTACAATGGTATAAATAGATGGATCGTGGGCCCCAGAGTGGTCTCGGGTGTTTAGAGGTTGTCTGGCACTTACTTACCCTATCTGTTTGGGATTGATGAGTTTATCGAGCCTGCGTTTCACTGGGTTAAGCCGGGTTTTTCCAGTGCTCTAGTCCTTCTGAAATGAAGATATAAACCCAACACATGCTGGAATTAGGATGAATCTAGTTCGAGGCCTGCGTTTCACCAATGGGAGTTAAGCCAGGTTTTCCAGTTAGCTTTTGCTCCTTCTGAAATGAAGATATAAACCCCAAACACATTGCTGGAATTGAGGATGAGAGGGCAGATCGATACATTGTAGTTATATCCTGGAAAACTCCATTTTCGAAACGTGTACGTGTCGATATTTGCATTTACCCTGCACTCCAGCTCCAACAATCGAGACCTAGCTCGATTTCCAATCTTAGAAGCCCCTCAAAGGCGTGAAAAGATAGCCTTGGCCAAATGGCCCTCGATCCCTTCATAGCCATCGGCCTAGCCGGCAATGTTGTCCAGTTTGTTGACTTCGCGGGCAAAATGGTCGCAAAGAGTTTGAAGCTATACAGGTCGTACCCAGGGGAGCCAGCAGAGAATGCCTCGCTCGAGCAAGTCACCGGCGAGCTTCGCAGCCTTACTAAGGGGCTAGCCATTCGCTTTGACCCTGGTGACTCGGAGCCTGATGCCGGTATCTTGAGCGTTGCTCATGCGTGTAAAACTGAGGCAGAGAAGCTTCTTTCCGTTCTGGAGAGACTGAAGATCAAGCATGGCTCTCGTATATTGCAAAGCGCCCATCAGGCATTGGCTGATGAGTGGAAGAAGGATACAATTGAGGAGTTGCGGACCAATCTAGGGCGGCTCCAGACGCAGTTGTTACTACATCTTGTCAAGCTGACGAAGTAAGTGCTTTTAAATTCAATATACTTTCAGAAATAACATGACCACTCAGGCGATGTATATGGTCAAAGTTTTATTACTTGCCTTCAACTGGCTGACTGCTTTGTAGTGAGACGCAGTCGAGCATTAGTAAAGACATCCGAGAACTTAGTGCTACAAGCAAGGAAATGAACATGAACACGTCTGACCGGCTCGATTATCTGGCATTTTCCATAGCAGAGCTTAGGTCAGATATAGTCGAAAATATCGCCAGTGACCTGGATACCTCTACGACAAGTCACTCGAAACGGAATATACCTCTCAGCAGCACCGAGTTAGGCCTTCTGCAGCAACCAGATTTCCGAGAAGGCGTAGTAGGCCGCCTAGTCGCTCCAGTCATTAACATACCCTACGATAACGACGATGTGAAGAAACTCTCGACAAAGCTCCACAATATGGCAACGACAGGCTGTACCTTAGCTACTGAACAGGATATTCTCCACAGCCTGAAATTCGAAGCTATGAGAATGAGAGAATCGAATATCGCCATTGCCCACATCAAGACCTTCGACTGGATTATGGAACCTCGGACAAGCATTAGCGATGAAGTATCGCAGAATCATTTTATCGACTGGCTGCGCTACAAAAGCGGGATTTTCTGGATATCAGGAAAGCCTGGATCTGGAAAATCGACGCTCCTGAAATATCTTGTCAATCACCCAAAAATGCAGTCGTCGTTACGAATATGGGCAGGCCATCAAGTATTGGTAACGGGATGTTTCTTTTTCTGGAATGCTGGAAAACCTATGCAGAAATCTCAGCAAGGTTTGCTCCAATCCCTGCTTTTTGAAGTGCTACGGCAATGCCCTTCTTTAATCGGAACCACGTTCCCGTCTCGTTGGAAGGATTTGCAGGGCCTAAAAGGCAATCGCCATGTTTTGACTGACTGGACTCTTGACGAGTTGAAGGGAGGTCTCAAACGACTCGTGAAAGCGGATATCACATCCGCTAAATTTTGCTTTTTCATTGATGGGCTTGATGAGTACGATGGCTACTCTACAGACATCACTGAGACCTTGAACGACTTTACCACCTCAGCCCACATCAAAATCTGTCTGTCAAGTCGACCATGGCCGGCCTTCCAGACTGCATATGGGGATCCGACTAGAGCACTCAAACTCCAAGATCTTACCAGAGATGATATTCGACTGTACGTTCGGGAAAAACTTGAAGAACACAAGACCTTCATTCTCCTCAAGAATGAAGATCCCCGTTACATGAATCTCGTGGAAGAAATTGTTGGAAAGGCTGAGGGAGTCTTTCTCTGGGTAGTTCTTGTTGTTCAGTCCTTCAAAGAAGGGATTTCGAATGCGGATTCGATCTCGATCTTAACGAAGAGACTTCGCGAGTTACCTTCAGATCTCGACAAGTTTTTCCGTCATATCCTCGGTCAGGTTGACAAGGTTTATTGGGAAGGGACGACCCAAGCATTTGAAATGGCCATTTGCGGAGCAGAGCAACTACCCCTTTGGTTATACTCCGTTCTTGACGAGGAAGATCCCGACTTCGCGATCAAAGCTCAACTTGAGCCTCTTTCCGTTCTTGAAGTAGAAAAGATGGGCGGCAACCTGGAAAAGCGCTTGAACGCTCGTTGCAGAGGGCTGCTAGAAGTCGTATCAGTCAATCCGTATCCGGATATCTTCTCGAAAAATAAAGTGGACTTCCTACATCGGACTGTTCGAGACTTTCTTCGCATGGACGATATTCAAAAATTGCTGGCCGAACGATTGGAAAAGCCCTTTGACCCTAGTCTTACTCTCTGCAAGGCATTACTGGCTCAAGCTAAAGCTGTGTCGGCATTCGAGACAACGCAGCTGGAGAAGATTTTCTCGGACTTCTCATACTATGCTCGACGAACTACGAAGCTCAACCCAGCGTCCCCAACATTACCCCTAGATGCAATCACGCGGCTTGCCCAGCCAAAACAAACCCAACTAAAACAAAGTTCGGCTCTGCCCTCGCTTCATCCATTGGTAATACAGAAGTGCCGCCTCCTGAACATGGAGCAACAACTCCAAGGTACAACAAGGCCAGTGCAGTCGGATCAAGCAGCTGCGCTTCTTGAAGTAGCACTTCTACCTTCGTGTAATAGTTTGGGGCATGAAGAGTACATACACCCCCATATAGTGCAGTTGCTCCTAGAACACGGCGCAGACCCAAACCACGACGAGAGTAATCTAGGAGGCACGATATGGATCCGATTCCTGGATCGGATTTACAGGCAACCCTCACCCTTGGACGAAGAGAGAAATACTTGGTTTATGGTCATAGATAGGCTTCTTCGTGGTGGTGCAGATCCCACCGCCACAGTTAAGGTCCAAGATGAGAATCTCCCTATTGAGGCTCTTTTCTCACAGATTTTCAAGCCTGGACACGCAATGATGCTGACGCGTTTGTTGTCTATGAGGCAAAGATTGTGGACCGAAGTCAGCAAACTTCCGGATTCAAGGCCAGAGAAGTTACCTGCAAAGAATTCCCCTCTAGGGAATTCTTCTCCACCCGAATCGCCTCCACAAATTTTGCACACACAGAACATACCTCCGTTAGAGTCAGAAACTGAGCTAGAGATTAGCGATGGTCAGGTGAAACCCGGCCGTCGCTGGCGAACGAAATGGCTTTTTGGAAAGCGGTAATGGCAACCAAGCTTCTGCCAATGGACCATGCACATAAAGAAGACACAAAGCACTCCTTAGCACGGATATGTATACAGACGTAGATGGGAACCAGTCCGCTCAGCAGAGGTTACCGGTCACTTTCGGGTGATGAAGTGAGGTGCGTTTACAACTGTAGACGCAGTTCGGCAACTGGTGCCAAAACTGGGCTACTCCGGCATAGCAGTCCTACGGACAGCTAGAACCGAGTATAAATGAATAAATCAATCAATGATAATAGCCAAGAATAGTTCTTGGTTATGTGACCTTTTGCCAGGATATGTACTTATTCCGATTATCCGCATTCTAAATAACAAAGACCTAAGTAGCGTCACGCAATGTGCATATTTCTTGAGCTCATTTGACTTGACACTGCTTTTCCAGACGGAATTTGCACAATAATGTAGATATTCGTTCTCTACATTCATAGCGAACTCAGCAGAGAATTGAGGTGGGCCCTCTACAACCCACTCCTTCATCTCCACGTTCTTCGAAGGGATGATGCCTATTCTTGTATCGATTGTGCCTGCACTATCGGTTAATTGTTAGCTTGAAAGAATTAGCCGACAGCATTTGTGAAGGGGATGACAGGACTTACAGCCAACCTTTCGGCATATCATCAATCCCCACCACCGTGACAATTTCTCCTGTTTTTAAATCCCAAATGGCCGGGACCTTCTGCGTCAAAGTCGATCAAAGCCACCACTTGATCATCCTCTAGGCTTACAGTCTCACTTGACAAGCCTTGCAGATTTGGCGGAATCGGCTCTTCCGACATGGTCAGTCCACCAGGAACTGTGGAATTAAGAACATTTGTGTAATCGTTGAGAACCTTTATAAACGAGATGGCAGCTAGCGGGGGTCGGACACTACCTCCCATCAGCTGGCTTGCAGTATATCGCTGGCCATAGAGTCTATCATTTGTTTCTATCCTTTCTCCAATGGTGATGAGGCCATCCAGTGAAACGACAGCGAACATTCCCTCCATTTTGGAGTAACAGAAAGAGCCAGCTATACACTTTGAGCTCAGAGTTCCGGCAGCTTCAGCATTTTCTCCCAAAGGCCCAGTTGCCAAAGAGACATTGCGGCCTAGCGTCAAAGAGCCTTGTTGCGACAATTTCCATACTGCTTCTATATCGTTCAATATTAAAACGAAGTCTGTCAATTCGAACCCGATCTGACCGCCAAAGCCGGCGCCTGTAAGAGCAATCGCAGTGGGTGCAGACCAATTTCCATTAGCGAGCCGCCCAACTACTACCCCATTGCCGTATCTCGTTGACCCTAAGAAGCCTGCTTTGACAACCGTGATGATCGCAAGACCCTATGGTTTCCTCAGTAATTTGTCTAATGGGAGTGTCTAGGTGCCAAAAGCTATACTTTTGCATTTGCAAGAATTGACGGAGGGATAACTCTGTCTGGGACAAAGCCTTCTCTCGGGTCTATAAAAGACGATAAAATCTTGCTGCTCCTCTTCCATTCTGATGCATATAATTAGGTCAGCGCGTTATGTCATGGATAATAAACGTTAGTCACTTACGCTGTAAAGACTACTCCAGAGACGCGGGGAATGGGCCTTCTGTTGCCATTGACATCTTGAAAGGTGATTCTGGTGGGGCACAGAGCGACGAAATAGACTGCTTGAGAACAGGTATATGATTATAACAGTAAGAAAGTAGAGATCTTTGAGCTGCTCTGGATTTGCCTCCAGCAGACCTTATATACGAATTCAATTGTTGGCTGGGTTGAAAGAACTAGGCGTTACTGTGGTATATGATGACTTATCTCAATTACCTGCCTGATTCGGTATTCTTACTTCAATCACTGTTTCTGGCGTCCCGCTAAAGTGACTCCAGTAGGAATTTCACAGCATTATGCCACCCCTTTCCGCAGTTCTGGTTTCAAAAAAATCAAAAAAATGACGAAATTAACCTTCCCTAACATTGACTTCCGAAGTTTCGACCTGAAACACCAGATTTTCTTGTTCCAATCAAAATTCCACAAGACAGCCCCTCATCTTACAATGCTTCCTCAACTTGATACGCTGATTCATTAGCTGGCATCGGTGTTCTTGCGAGGCTCGCCAGCCTCCTTTCTAGCAAGAAGACCTTTCATCCAACCATTCGCCACTCCGTAATCCAAAGCGAAACCGCACTATTCTACGGGCTAACTATGTACGAACTTTTTGTCTGGTGGATTGGGACTACCCACATTGAAGAGTAAGTCAGATGGCATAACATTATTGAACGGATCAGTAATAGGCTAATGGAGGGCGTTGTTCGTTCTTTGATTCATGGTCCGGACCTAGTTTAGATCTTTCCGGATTTCCCGGAGCGATTGGGCTGTGAATAATTATTTAACATTTTCAGCACATTCGGTGAGAGTAAGACTTGCAGATTATCTTCTCATTTTGTTTTAACCTTCAGGAATTTGCATTGTGATTCGTGACAATTTTACCACCAGCTTCATCTGTCACAGCACTTTCGCAATCCAAGTCTAATAGACTCGGTCAGATAACCCAGCTGCAATAGGAGGGTTCAGGCACAGCGGGGCGTCGCTTAGCGGAACAAAAGCAAAGAGGCCGAGTGCCGCTCGCTCTACCACATTAACTTCGAAACAAATTTGATTCAATTTACATCTCATGCGGGCTACCAGAGCGTTCCAGAGACTGCTTCGCATTATTCAATGTTGATGCAATCCCCCCGATTCTTCAAAAGTGACAAGACGTCATCATGAGCTTCGGATACAGCGCTGGTGACTTTCTCGCTGTGGGACAACTTGCCTGGGCAGTCTACAAGTCATGTAGAGATGCGCCCGATAGTTTCAACAATATATCTATCGAGGTATTGTCATTACATGCCGTACTAAAAGAGGTCGAAGAAATTCTGTCCGGACAGTCTCTCGCGGCGTCGAAGAAGGCCAACCTCGCAACAATCACAAATGGATGCCGTAATGTCCTTCAGGATTTGCAAGCCCTAGTGTGGAAATATGAAAGCCTAGGTTCAAAAGCAAGCTCACTTGGGACAGACTCAGATGGGGTTCAAATGACATTGCAGAGCTGAGGGCAAGGTTGACTTCCAACTTGACGCTTCTTACCGTATTTATGAGGCACATGACACCTTTCCTTTCTTTTCAAATTTTTACGTCTCGGTACACCTCTGACAACATGACAGCACCTTACAAATCGTCGTTGAAAAGAAGCTGAATGAGCTTGCCCAAGGATTCAGAGATGGCAAGCATGAAGGATCGGCCATGTCAGTGGCGACTGTCGAATCTCTGACTTTTGATGAGAAGCAGTGGCGAACTATCCGGAAAGGACTTGAGGACATAGGCATCTCGGTCGCAGCCTTTGATGCTAATAAGGCATTCATCATGGAGTGGTTTCAACACGCTCTAGATTCTGGTGCCTTTGATGGGCAAGCTCCAAACGATGTGTGGAGGTATCGCGAAGTGGCGGTATACGGGGATGCGACGAATGTGCAGGCCTATCATGGGATGTTTCAAGCGCCATTCTTGAGTGGTATTGAGAAGAAGATTATGACTTACTTACCCAAGTATAACCATCGTCAGCTTTCGCAACCAAGAGCCAAAAAGCAGGATTTATCAGACAGAAATGGCGTCCCCGATGAAGACTTCATTTGTGAGTTTCCGGAAAGTTTCCTTGTTCACGTAACTAAATTTATCTAGGTTGGGCGAGCTTAATAGTCGAATCCATCTGGCCCAGCTCCAATTCTTCATCCGGGAGTGGTATTGTGCCCTTACAGGCTTTCATTCAAGCCTAATTCGAAGATCACGTACAGCGTACGTAACTTTGCAATACGCGCTGTATCATCTGATCTTGATAAAATCGCACGTGCCAAAATTCAGATTTATGGTGGAACTGATACCCCCCGTTCGTCAATACGAGCGATTGATCAATCGCCCTCCCGATTGATCAATCGTAGCGCCCGATTAATCAATGGGGGGGAGATTACGATTCGGGCTCCACAGTGGGTCCCGATTAATTAATCGGGACCCCGATTGCCCAATCGGGTAATATTGAGGTTTCGGGAATAGCAAAAGCAGTATATATTAGTATACTTCACCCAAATCAAGCTTTATTATACATGCCTCCCACTTCGTCTAGGTGCTTTCATAGCTACCCTAGCCCTTTTTGGTACCCTTATACCCACTTGTTCACCTGATTCCCCTTCTCTAGCTCCATCCTCACGTACTTGCTCAATAGCTACTCTCTTCTTTGCTCTCTCAGATACCCTTCCAGCCTTCTGAACTGACGAAATTGAACCCCGATTATTCTCCTTTGCCACTGCTTTAGGGAGGGTAATTTTGTCTTTCTTATAGGCCGCACCAGTAATAGGCAAATCAGGATAAGTTAATTATAAAGTAACTTTATTAAGAGTATTATACGGCCAGAGGGTTATAAGCTTACTATACTTAGTAGTCAACCGGTAGCCCTGTTTTTAATTAGCTTTAGCCAAAAGTATATTCTTATAAGTTATATATCTTTAAAGTCTTTTCCAGAACTCTTACTAGAATCCGAGCCATTTCTGTACTAAATCGATATTGCTTTGGGATCTATAGGATTATAATCTCCTGAATATTATATTCAAGAGCTTTAGTACTAGTTCTCTTTACCATCTTCTCTTACTATTTCTTTATATACTCCGTAACCCTCTTAGTTAGTTTAGATAAAATTATCTCCTCTACTGCTTCCTCCTGTTCTGCTTCCTTATTAACGAATAAGCTATTCTCTCTATTCTCTTCTTCTCCTTGAACCTTAATAGTAGATAATTATTTAGAAGTACCACTCTTATTAATATCGATTTCCCTCTCTCCTAAGGCTATATGTATACGGCAAGCACTCTCCTTATAATTCAGGAAATTAGTAGGTAGCTTTCGTCCAAACCAGACCTTATACGGCATATTACCCTTAGGAAGGATAGATATAGCCATAGTATTAATTACCTATATAATCAAAGGAAGTAATTATATCCAAGATTAGATACTAGTATCCGCTCGTACGGCCCGCAGTCGTTTCTTGAAGATTTGATTAGCAACCTCAATAGAGCCCTGAGATTAGGGATAATAAGCTCGTCCGCAAATAATCTTTATCCCTCTCTTCTTATAAACCTCAATTACTTTCCCCTTAAACTCGCCCCTATTATTACAGGCTAGAATGGCAATATACCCATTATTATTTAGTTATTTAATAAGCTCGTCTGCAGCTTTGTCCGTAGTCTTAGCCTTAAGCCTACGGATCCAAATAAACTTGGAAAAATAGCATTTTAATTACCAGATCTACGTATATTCTCTATCCGGATTATATTATAATAATATTAGTAAGTAGTATAGATAAAAATCGCAATTTTTATAATTTTCGCAAAAATCGCGAAAATCGCAGGAAAAGCTCAAAAATACAGGAAATACAGGAAATACAGGAAATACAGGAAAGGCTAAAATAGGGGTAAATTATATAACTTAGGGAATACTTATACGGAAATCTATTAAATCCAGAACCATATACTAGCCAGGATAATAAGATTAAATAGGTATTACTCCTGTATTATTCTTTTGAGCCTTCTCCTTATTATAATAAGTATAATGAGTACTTATCCAAGCGTAATTATTACGGGATAGGCCATACCAAAGTCGTCTTATATACTCAAATATAGTATTAGAAGCTATTATATAATTAGTATAAAAATTAATAGCTTTAAGGGAATACTTACCTGTATATATTAATTTCTTATAAATAGTAGTCAAAATCTCAAAGATATTATTATAGCAAAGAGTATACTAGACTAGAAGGATCTTATTACGGCGAGTATTATAGTACTCCTTATAATATACTTGATTATCCTGAAGCTCGTACAAGTAGGATTCGTACTTAATATTAGCCTAGTAGTACTTCTCTGCCTTAGTTCTACCAGGAAGCAGAGTATTAGGATTTTGAAGCCACTATCTAATATCCATACGTTTCCTAGCAGTAAGAATTTTCCTACTACCCCCCTTAGCAAGCCTCTGATCCCATGCAGCTTCGTCTTCGGCAGACCAATTATTAGTAGGCTCTTTAGTAATTGGGGAGGGCAAAAACTAGATACTAGACAAACGAGCTCCTTGTGACGGCTGGTGTCACATGGTTGGTTTCAGCCAAAGGGGTTGGTTTCAGCTAAGGTTCCAAGCTATGGTTCCAAACCAAGCTCGCTTCCAAAGCTCGGCGTTTCAGTGGTCTTGGCCATTCCTACTTATCCACCGCCACACCTCACTCCTGTCCTCCTTAGCTTTAAATTCTTAAGACATTGGAAATCATTGATCTTTGAGCCTCGTTCCATTGCTCTGTTCCTGCCGTCACACTCCTGGAGTAGTAATATCAAAATATTACTCTGCTCGCCTATAAATATACTAACGAGGCGTATACGGGATTAGGGATAAACGAAGAGTTAAAAGAGATATATTGGAAGTAAGGTAATTAATTAATTGAGAGATATAAAAATCAGTGGTTATACTTGGTAAATTGGTGCTTATAGTACTTGTAGTATGAACTATATCTAGAAAATAAGGGAGTAAAGGCCCTATATATATCTAGAAGCTCTGGAGAAGTATCTTTACCCCTATTATTACTTCCCTTAATGCCTAGAAAAAAATTAAATAAACTATATAATGCTATAGGTATAGTATAAATAAGTAAGGTATAAGCGAAATAAGAAAATTAGACTTGAGGATATACTTAGTATTAAATATTAGAAATCTATATTATAGCATAAAGAGTAAGGCTTAAGCGAAGTGAAGAATATAGAATTGAGGATATATTTAGTATGAACTAGTAAGTAAAAGCTTTCAGCTCCCTTAGCCCCATTAGCCCCGAAACCCCAATATTATGCGATTGATTAATCGGGACCCACTGTGGAGCCCGAATCGTAATCCCCCCTCCATTGATTAATCGGGCGCTACGATTGATCAATGGGAGGGGGCGATTGATCAATCGCTCGTATTGACGAACGGGGGGGAACAGCGGGCTCGGCTGTTTTACAGAGACCTCGCGAAACAGGTGTGGCCAACCCAACCTTCCAAAATTATTTTTTCTTACCTCGACAACAAGTCCGTTACAGTGGCGCGCGAGCCCATATCTCTCACGGATATGGCGCGGTCAGGGTTTGCATACAGCTTCAGAAACCACTTGACGTCAAAGCGGGGCAGGCCATCAACCTATGGATGTGGATGCCTTCCGTCAGCTTCCGGTCCTTCTTGCAGAGTCATCCGTTTGTGGCGATCTCGTAGGCAGAGAAGCTGCAAGATCATCTAGATCTCTTGGTCTAGCAGGTTCGGGATATTAGTAAGTCGTAACCCCTCTCACCTCCTATGAAACGGAGTTCTAACCAAGCCAAATGTCACAATCGCAGCCCAGCCGCTCCTCAATAATACATTAAACGAGGATACGCTAGATAATGGCTAGGTACGTACTACAAGAGCTATTATCTTCTTGGTCTCGCTAATAGCAGAGAACAAATTCTAGCTATCTCGATCTATTACAAATCAAGTAATATTAGTGAAAAATGTTTTAGGAAGCATATAAAGATTTATCTGGGCAAAGCTCTATTACGAGAGATCCTTTAAGTAAAAGTTGCAAGAGAGTATATTAAGAAGAAGCTAGTAAATAATATTAACTGGGATATAAAGACGCTTATAGAGAGAGAGCTTGAATTCAGGGAGTATACTAGAAGAAATAGTTAATTACTTATTACAAGTTCCCTATTCTGTTACGAGGCCTGGCTCTGGGCTTGGAAAGCAGGGTAGAGTGGCTCTTATTCCGATAATACTAAACTAAGGAGAGAAGAATGTACAAGTGTGTGCGAACGCCAGGTAAGCATGCGAACCAGCCTAGCCCAATATAGCCTAGCGTACCACGTGCAGGGAGCACGTGACAGCCATGGAGCGTATAACCATAACATATTCTATAATTCTGGCCGTAATATACTAATAAATGAATGTCTCTAGTACTAAGAATATCCGAGATAAGTTGCGAAGCGTTATATGAGGCTATCTAATAAATAAAGTAAGCTTCTTTAAACTTGATTATTAACCTTTATAATAGTAATGCAAATGTGGTAATTGAATAGCATTTATTATACCGCGGTTTAACCTTCTCCCCACACTCGTTTATTGCTTTTAGATATAATATATTTTCAGATATTATATACCAAGTTTTGCCTATAAACGCCAAATAATATCAGAAGTATTAAATATGAGAATAAGTGCGTGTTTTATAACTGCATCTTTTACTTCCAAAAACTCTCTTATTCCACTAAAGCAGCGTTCCCGGTTTACTATAACATGTCGGTAATGGAGCGGCATAATGGGAAAATCGTTAAAGGAGCCTTATTCTTAACTTAAAGTCCAGAACCGCTGTCCCAATACAGACACGGGTCCTGTGACTGGGGAGGTCCTGGTTTGCTGGGTTTCGATACACCTACCACCCATGGTAGGTTTATAATTTGGCTTAGTCAGCCCAGCAAAACCTACCACCCACCCACCCTACCGAGGCCGATAGCGATGCTCCTGCCAAAACCCCGAAATGACATTGCAAATGACATTGCGCATATTGTACTTGACTTTTTCCTTACTTTTTACTTCTTATATAATAAATTACTTATAGTATAAGATATTTATAAGCTTGCAAATGGCTTATATACTTTCCTAACCATTCTATTTAATTTAGATTAATTAGAATTCTTCTAATCAGAATTTTTTTATTTGTAAAATTTTGAAGTTCTTCCTTTAATATTACTTTCTCGCTTAGAAATTTGAGGCTATTTCCTAAGTTATAGAGATCTTTAAGTATAACCTTTTTAATTCTTAACCTTTTAAAGTTATTTAAATTCTTATATATATATTAATTATAATTTATATAATTATAAGAGTAATAAGGGTTTTAATAAGCTTAATATATAAGAGAAAGATTTTGGGAAGACCCTAGTAAGATTTAAGCGAAGCGGCCGTAAAGCGGCCGCAAAACGGCTGTAATGGCTCGTGCACTCCGAAGGCTCGTGCACAAAGGCTCGTGCGGCCTCGACTTTTCTTTGCCTTTATTTAAGAAAATATTAAATTTAATTACCTATATAAGAATTTTAAAAATAGCCCTTATAAATCTATTAATAATTAAATAAAGAATTAAATGGATTAATAGGAATTTACGTAATTACTTTATTTAAAAATCTCAAAAGCTAAGTGCAATGTGCGAATGCGCAATGTGCAATGCGCAAATGCGAAATGTCATGAAAAATCAGGGTTTTGGCAGTACAGGGGTTAGAGGCCTCGGTACACCCCACCAAAATGATCGCGCGTCGCGTTTTGCATCCACCTGCACTACAATTTTGCCTGCAATTGATGCACCACCCGACACAGTTTCATAGAAAAAATGTATTCTATAGTATATATCGCTCAGCATCTCTAGCATGTTCCTCCTCAATTCTAGCCCATATCTCCCTACGCCCATTCTCAGTATGCCTTTCACCATTGGCATCAAACTCTGCTTGTAGCTTATTATACTCCTCCTCCTCTTTCCTTTCCTCATTATCTAGCCATACTATGATCTCTTCATTAGTCCAATTAGCCTTTGTAGTAATAATATTACTATTAAAATCACGCCGTTCCTTTGGCATATAAAATGACTGCTCCTTCAAGACCTTTGGCCGTGGGTTCTTCCATTTCCGGGCCTTACGGTACTCTGTTGGTCGTACAGTAGGGTGCTGAGCTAGCCAAGCTGTCTTTTCAGCTAAGTAGGCTTGCATTAGAACCTCTGGCCTATCCGGTGAAAGCTGTTTAGGTACAGTGGATACTACAGGTACAGTGGACACTGTAGGCGCTGTAATTACAGGAGACACCACAGGTACAGTAGACACTGTAGGCGCTGTAATTACAGGAGATACCACAGGCACAGTGGACGCTATAGGCGCTATAAGCGCTAGTGGTTGAGTTGCTACTATGTCCATTTCAAAAAGCATTTGACTTTGAGTAGCAATCGACGCCTGTAGCTTTAAGGGGCAGTTACGGCTACTCCTTGTATGGCCCTGTTTATGGCATGCTGAGCATGTAGGCAGCTGTTTTGTAGGTTCCTCGCCCGTAGAAAGGATACGGCCCGTATGAGATACCTGTAAGTTTGCCGTACGCTGTCTACCAGCCCATAGCGGGTCAAGGAGTGGCTGTAAAGTACTCTTACGGTCCCAGTACCAGTGCTCGTGGAAGTCTGACGGAACAAGACCACCCGTAGCCCTCCGTATATCGCATATATGTGCACAAGGCAAGCCCATTAATCGTGTAAAGCTCCCTGTACAGGGCTGTAAGGGCAATGAAACGAGCTCTAGATACCGTTGTACAAGCCGGAGTGCGTGCCATGTAATAACTCCAAAACAGCCCTGATATAGCTTCTTGTCTATATTAAGAGGTGCCCGGTCCTGCTGTATAGTCGTACGACTTGATACAGCTGTAATTTGATTAATTACAGCTGCTTCAATAAGTAGCCATGACGAATAGAGGTCTCCCTTAGTCTTTTTACCCCCTAAGTAACGCTTGATATATGCATGAGCACCCTCAGCACGTGACGTAACTCGTATTCCAAAGTGTAAGTATTGATTTGTCCAGGCTTCAACTAGACGCTCTCTTTGGCCAGGCTTCAGCCATTCATTTTGCAAGTACGTTACGCACTGCTCAGTCTTAGGAGTTGAGTATTGAGTCTGAAATTCAAGCCATTGCTTGTCAAATTGCTCAATCGTACGTGCTTGAATAACTGTACGCCAAGCAGCTTCAAATACTGGCCAGTCTTCATTCCCAAGTATGCTTTTACACTTGGCAAGAACACATTGATTAACGTGCCAAATACAGAGTAGTGTAGGGGCATATGGAAACACCTCTTCTGATGCATTCTTTTGAGCTTGGTCACCGTCCATAACTATGACGGTAGGCTTGATTCCAAGACCTTGGAAATACTGGAAAGCCCATACAAAGTCTTCCTTTGATTCGCCTGGAAGAAAGCAAAACCCAATTGAAAATGTCATGCCTGAGCTTGTAATACCTATATAATTAATTAGTATAAAGATTAGTATAAAGAGAGTAAGAGCTAACCAATCATGTGAAGGAGTGGCATGTCAAATTTGTTGGTTTTGTACGTATTATCAATAAGGATAACGTCTTGATTAGTTTGAGCAAGTTGGAGTGATTGAGGGTAAGTAATAAAGAGGTGACGAGTCCGATTTTCAAGTATATTGATTTTGTAGTGTATTCCCTTGTCCTTAAGGTGCTGAATAAGAGCGTCGTTTGCAGAGAGCCCATGCCTTTGCTCCCTTTTGAAAGAGGCATTCAAGTTATATATATCGTACGGTTGAAGAGGAGTAGTCGTTATCTCGCGAAGGTATGTGATTGCTTGGCCTGGCTTGATTCCTATATATATATTAGAGTTCTTTCTTTTAAGGTATTATATAATATTAAACTTACCTGCATTGTGGAGAGATCTGGCCTGGTTTATCTCTACTTGTGCCAGTTTCCGGTGTACTGGATGAGAGCTAATTGATTGGCTTGGAGGGTGATTGTGTAGACTGTAATCTACGCCAGGCTTACTAGGCCTATGGCGGAGCTCCCATTGTGTATCTATACCTTCACGAGCTATTATTGAGAACTGACAGCCTGTCTTTCGAGTAGCCGTAAGGCGCTGACGGTCTTGCAAGCTCTTCTGCGGATGGTTTGCAGGCGGTGCTAGCCCAGCTCGGTCGCAACTATATAAGATCCTAGTTCGTTCGGTGTTGTGTATCTTTGTAGACCGCTCAATACGGAACGCATAGCGGTGCTGTGCTGCCCAGGCTTGAATTGAAGCATATAGCTCTTCTTTAGAGCTATATGTGGCCTGTGGGGGTAGTGGCATAGGCAGAAGAGAGGAGGGCTCGGGCGATTGTGAGGGCAGTGGCGATGGTGAGAGTAGTGTATCCATTGGTGCGTTCATTGGTGTGATGTAATCGCGTCGGGTGGTGCATCAATTGCAGGCAAAATTGTAGTGCAGGTGGATGCAAAACGCGACGCGCGATCATTTTGGTGGGGTGGGTGGGTGGTAGGTTTTGCTGGGCTGACTAAGCCAAATTATAAACCTACCATGGGTGGTAGGTGTATTGAAACCCTGGTTTGCTAAGCGTGCTGAGTAAGCAGTCCTAACCGAGAATCTGTCTTAGGCCATTTTTCCTGGGACAATTGGCCATCTGGGAGAGACTATCTAGGTCAAATAGCCACCTAGGGCGGCTCCTGCCGTAGGAGGCGTGTCTTATATGCACTGTCCCGTAGCTCATACCCTATAGTGGATTTCCTCTTGTGACTAAGGGAATCCTGAGGCGGTCTGGCAGCCAGGTAAAAAGCCCCAGATAATAATTCAAGCTAGGATCTCTTAGTTAGGACTGATTTATATCTGGGGCGAGTTACCCAGCACTCCTGGAGTCCTGGGATTCCCAGAGTTACAGGAAGGCTGTCCCAGCCAGAGTCCTCTACTTAAAATATTTAATCTCTCTCTCTTTAATTCTTATTTGTATATAAGTATAAGGCTAGGAGAGAAGGAGTGGGGGTTTAAGGGAGGGGGGCGTGAGGCAGGCGAGTAAGAAAAAGTAGAATATAAATAAAAAAACTTCGAGATACGTGAATCGCGAGGAAAATAAAGCCTTATAATTATAGGTTTCTCATTATTAAATTATAGGGCAATACTCGCTAAATTACAGGCTATAGGTACTAAAAAGATAGTACTTAAGTTTTTTATAGGCTATAGTACAAATTTTTAGTAAGGTCTCCTCTCCTTGTCTTGCCCCCCTCTCTCGCCTTTATATCTCTCCTCTCTTACCCCTATATTTAGAGAGAGAGAGAGAGAGAGAGAGAGAGAGAGAGAGAGAGAAAGAAAGAGTAAGAAGAATTAACGAGAGCGAATATTTTAAGTAATAATATAATGGGAATTCGATTATTATATGGATTTCGGACCATATATAGGCATTAGATGCGTGAGTGGATATAAAGAGGGTAAGAAGCTAAATAATAAAAGTAGTACTCTTAAAACTCTTAATACTAATAACGAAATAACACGAATGGTCAAAAATAAGGAGCTCTGAAGGTTGATGTATTGGGAAGTCTAATCGCACGTATGGACGGAAGTCTTATGCAACCCCCTAAACTAGCGCCAGCATGCCTGGAGAGCAGGACACGTGACGGTAGTCACGGGACAATAGACAAAAAACCCGACCAGAGTAATAGAGGCATAGCGAGAGGGGGCATAGTATGTGGGTATGGGTATGGGTATGGGCGTGGTAATTTTAGGTAAGGTAAAGCATGCACGTGCCTAGTGCAAAATTCAAAGCTCGAAGTTCGAAGTTCGCTTGGGCGGGTGACGCTTACAGCTTTCCGTAACTCTGGTTGACCACAACGACCAAAAGGGTCAGTAGCGTATTTCGCCTTATTTCTAACCCTTGCCGACACAGTCTTGTGTCCAACGTGATTTAAGATTTTGTTGGATCACTATGCTAGAAGACACAACTGGCTGTGGGTGGGGGACTTTTGTCAGGCGAGAGTCCCCCTCTGTGTATCCACGATGCAGCTATATTGGCCAATAGAGTGGTGTCTAACAGGCTCGTTGTTAATTTTCTTGAAGATTCGTCCACCTGTCATGGCAGTTGACCAGAAATCTTGACCTCTGCCTTGACCGTCAATACTTAGCAAGTAAGGAAATTCTATCAAATCCTCTTCTCCGTCCACTGTACGAGCACCTCTGAAACGCCATTATAGGACGCGAAGATAGTGACCATGATCCCTCCGGACACTACCGTATCAATAGCCATTCGTCTCGGAGGACTCCTCGTGGCTATGCACGGCACTTGGATAGGGTTCTTGGGTCTTAAGGCTATGAAGTCAAATCTGCACCCAGGTACGAACTCAACTTTTCTCAGAATGATCGTTTTTAAATCCTTGTTGAGGTTTGCCAGCCGGTAACGTGCGTTTGAGTGGGGAAGTTCCCAGATAAATGCCCACCGTACCTCTACTCGCCCATCTCTCATGCCCGAAAGATGCTGGAAGGGCAGAACGAAGTGGGGATAGGTGGTCTAGCTGGAACTGAAGAAGAAAAACAAGTTTCTAATTCTTTAACTGGACAGTTTGACATGGGCTATGAGCGTAATACGACTTTGTGGATCACCTAATCACTGGTAGGCGAAGAAGAAGCATAAAAAGAAAGGAGGGAGTTTCAGGATGTTGGTTGGGCGAGATCGGTGCTTTTATACTTTTCAAGTGTATAGAGACATGGGAGATAACTGCAGAAGGCATCTGGGTTGAGTTCAGTTGGCCTTTGATTCTTAATTTCGATTATGTAATGCGTTTCGGTAGATACTTAACTGATGAGAAAAAGGTTCAAAATTTTCACTCATTGGTAGAGGCGAATGTTATTGTCTCAAGTCGAAGGGCAACTTTATTCTCTCTTGTTAGTCACCAGTCCCTGCGAGCCAAAAAACTATAAATTGGCTCATGCAATTTAACTTCTGAATCTAGGAAGCACAGAAGCCGCTGCAATCTTCAAAAGAACTTCAAGTCAGAGCGCAGGCTGTTGAGGGACAGAAACTCATTCTTATATCTAAACTACGGTTCCGTCATGGCTCCATGTTCAAACTCAACCCCTTCGCCAGAGGAATGTCTCTCAAGTAATCCAGATACCATCCACCCCTACCTACAAAAAGCGCTCAACCATCCCGGCCTAGCCGGCACAGTCGCTCTCTTCAACCCCTCTCCCTCACCCCCTACAACCTGGCCTCGCCTCCACCGATCCACAACAAACCAAATCTTCCTCTACCCCGGCTCCTACAACCCACCGCACCGCGGCCACCTAGCAACAATTCAATACTTCGCCGATCGTCGAGTCCAACTAAACATAGTCGCCTTCTTCATCTTCTGCGACCCCTCCTCAGTCATCCTCACCAAGAACAAAAAGCACAACTCTATTACCCTCCCGCGCTCTCTGCGCAACGCCATCTTCTACCAAACCCCAAAACTCACTCAGCTCATAAGCGAAGGATGGCTGCATCTGCTCGTCGGGAGTATGGAGAGCCATATCAGCTACCTTCGTATCCTGGCAGATTTTGTTAAGGGGGATGGGTGGAGTGTTAAATTGGTGGGCTTTCTGGGTGGTGATAAATTGAGTGCTGAGAGTCCGCCGCACTTACCGCCTGGGGAACTGACGGCTTGGGGTCCGGTTGATGAGTTTCTGATTATTAATGCGAGGAGGCCGGTTGATTTTTATACGCCTGGAGCAGATGAGGCGCCGAGGGATTTACCGGGTTGTACTGCGTGGGAGAGAGGAGAAAGATGGGATGACGGTAAGTATTCTTCTATACATCGAGACTGGAAATAACGCAGAAGAAAGAGATGGCTGATATTTGGGCATTTAGAAAAGAAGCTCGGAATCCCATGGGTTTGCAAAGCGTTGACAGTTCCAGGGGAACCCTGGATTAGCTTCCGCGCTTCGGAACGCAGTGCATCGGACGGTGTCAGCTCGACGGATATACGGAGAATCATGTGTGAGGTGCCCGGTGAGAGGCTTTACGAGGACTTGAAGGAGCATGTTCTTGGTTGCGAGCTTCTCGTGGAGTGGCTGGAAAAGTATCGAGGAAAGAAAGGCGAAGATGGGCAGCAAGTTGAATAGCTCAGGGCAGTAGCACTTGGGGGTGTTGGGCAAATTTCTTTGTTGGTAGCTCAACAACTTTAGTTGAAGATGAAATCCATGCCTGGGTTTATTTCTTAACGGAAATTAGAATCGCACATTCATATTCATGTAGCGAATCAAACGTAAGTCACCGATCTTCTCTTTCTCAATTTTGATGTGTGAGTAAATTGATCACGCCGAAGACTCCTGCTACAGGCAACTGTCCCATCATCCGCACTGCCCGCTGGCAGTATGAGAAGCCCCGTTTTGTCCTGCTCGTACCCTCACACCCTTCTTAGCCTCTTTCCAAGCTTCAACAGCAATTCGAACCTCTGCTTTAGTGAACTTGAGGTTGGCAGCTCTAGGGTCGTATTCGCTTTGTGCTTTAGACATTGTCAATCTCGTGACTGCCAGCCGCTCGCTGGCAGCCTTTAGCTTCCTCAGACATTGAAGCCCCAAAATTCTTCGCCCTGCCTGGTCGAGAACTTCTGCCTTTATTTAACATTAATAATTAGCTGAGAATAGCATTAGAAGATGTAGGAAATCTCGTACCTCTAGAGGATCTATTAGCGAGAGTTCCGGGTTAATAAGTGATATATTTATGTTTAAATATGGGTAGGCAAGACTGAGTCCGAGTTAGTAACAACTAAAAACTTTAATATTGGGAGTATTTAAAAGGGAAGAAGAAATAGTTTTTGGTATTAATACTCTAAGTTCTTTAGGTGTCTTTCTAGGACGAGATACCTTTCTTATATATTACTAATTTCCTTGAATTCCATTACTTATCGAGACTTGTTAAACATTGGGGGCTTCCGCTACTTCCTTTACTTTGAGGTTAGACTTAGACATGGCCTATGAGATTGTACCGTTTAGAAGACTCCTAGTCGGCTGTTATCGTTTCAAATCAAGGTACTGGGTCTAGGCGGAGTCAACTGCTAAGTGGTTACTGGTCCATGGATAGGGCTTCGAAGGTATGCAACAAAGGTTTGAGATCAAATACATCCTTTTCTGAGGTTTCGAGGAAACGCCAACTACGTATAGACTTGAGTGGTGACACAGAAGTCCTTTGTTCACGTGCAAAAACCACTCCTCACTTATGCGTCGCCTGATCCTTCTGCTGCCCCTTCATAACCCAACTCGAATGATATTGAGCGTACTCCTCCTCCCCCTCCCTCGTCTTCATCATCTCCTTCATCTTGAAAGGTTCAGGAACATCCAGTCCTCTCTTCACCGCCTCTCGTGCATTAATCCTGTCCACCCATTTCTTGACCTCCCTGTCCCCAAAATTAGCATTAGTTTCCCCAGGTCAAAGTGGTTAGCTCACGGGAATCCAGCAACATCGACACCAGCCCATTCCGCCCAATTAACCCAAGAGAAACAAGCGATATCCGCAATCGTATACCGATCACCTACCACCCACGGCCCGTCCCCATTGCCGCTCCCTCCGTCGCCACCTGCGGTACTAGCTTTAGTCCCCGCCGCCGTCTTGTTAATACCCTTTTGCTCTGCGAGCCTATCTTCTAGAACTTTGTAGAGGCGTTTGGTCTGTGCATGTTAGAAGGGATGCATGTTCGCCGGCTCACAGGGAAAGTAGAGCGGGCAGGCAGGCATACTTCAGTCTGGTACCGCTGAATCGCATACTCGATCTTCTGCGGCGCGTAGCGGAAGAAATGGTTTGCTTGGCCTTGCATAGGACCAATTCCGCTTTGCATCCAAGTCATCCATTCCATGACTTCCCAGTACCTAGATCCCATGTTAAAGACTGGCCTGGCCTGGCCAGGGAGGGAAGACGACGCACTTCTCGGTGTCAAATGGAAATGATATCTTGGAATCTTTATCGTATTTTTGACACAGGTAGAGCATTATGGCTTGCCCTTCGAATACCCTCTTCTCGCGACTCTTCCCCTCGGGAGTTGGTGTTCGGTCGATGATTGCGGGGATGCGGCCATTTGCTGCACTCATCGCGTTAGGTGATCCAGGGGGGGGATGAACGGGGAAACCTACGATTGATCTTCAAGTACCAATCCTCCTTCTGAGTATTCTTTGAGATATCAATATGTGTTGTTTCGTACTTGATCCCTAACTCCTCGAGAGTGATGGAGATTTTCTGGCCGTTTGGGGTGCCGGCTGTGTAGAGTCTGGACTTCTCATCAGCATCGCATTTTGCAGGGGCAACGGAACACACGAGATATCGGTTTTCGGCGTTGACATTTTGAAAACGGTTTGAGCGATAGGGAATCGCTTCTCGTGAATATGGAAGGAGATGGCAAGAATAGTTCGTTCGTGGTGTTTGAACTTATGCCATCATGAAGGACGACTTACCATGACGTAAAGTCTTTGGGATCTCCGGAAGGAAAGCCCAGAAGTGATCTAGCAGCATGATCGAATAGTGGAATATGTAAACTTAAATGAAAGAAGGAGGATTTGGGCTTCTAATTGTTCATAGACCGAGAAGAGGAGGATATAGAAGAACAAGAGGAAGAAACTCAAAAATGTATGGAGAAATGTGAAAAGTCACGTGCCAGACTCTCAATCTCGTAGACCTCTTCCCTATTTAAACGCACCTCGATATGATGCGATCCCAACGACCGTTATTCGCTCCACGACTTCGAGGACAGATATGAAAGCATCAAACAAACGTCGATGTGACATCCTGGCCAACAGAATTTCCGGAAGCGATATTTCTTCGGAGGTAGTGATGCTTTACCCATTCCCACTCCAGTCTCTGAAACAATGATTCTAGGACTTGAATTCCTCTTCAAAGACCGACAACGAAAAATATTGGACCGGATGAAACTGCAAAGAATGCTGGATGGATGAGGTATCACCACAGATACTAAGGATGGTTTCCCATCCAACAGCTTGCTTGAGTTGAGAGCGGAAAGAAACTGACAGCAAGCAAAACAGACCAGACGTACAAAACTTTCTACCTCACAAAACTGCTGTTTTGGAGGCGTTATAGAGGATGATAACGAATGAAGTGGCGGGCAGTCTGTTGAAGGTGGCTATATGTCTTGGCCATTTTCCTCCGCATTGCCCTGGCGAGGTATCTACACTGCGACAAACAGCTGAGCCGGTGTGAAGCCAAGAAGAAGGGATTTATACCAGCGTGGTGAAAGCATACCGTTCCTTCCGTTCTCCCTAAAAATGAAAATGGGTAGGAGAGGGTGTGGGTCACGTGATAAAATCCAAACCATCTTCATTCCCTTCCTGAAAAGCGAGGTTACTTGTGTCTAGCGAGAATGCACCTTGCACTCGTCAAGCTCTTGGGTATAAAGTGCGCGCCCTGGTGCCCTGGTCACCGTCATCCAAAGCTGGCCATGAAATCGTAGACTTGGGAGGACCCAGCGTGGTCGACGTCTCAACTTAGAAGGCACCAATGAGGGGGTGCTCTCATCCACAGGATTACACTACTCTTCGTGCTACTTGATGAGAGTTTTCGGACCGTAGTAGGAGTTCCAAGCTCCTCCTTTGCATTGAAGAAGATTATTTCCAGGTGGAAATTCTTTTGAGAATAGGAAATGGATGGATAGTAAATAAGATAGTTCGAGCGTCACTTTCGAGAGTTTCAGGCACCAGGTACCGTGCGAGAGTTGAGCTGGATAATTAAAAGTACAGTGTTGCATCCACTTCCTCCCTCTCTGAAACCACGGGAATGTATACAAAATGCTAGCCATCATGTCTTTCATTCCGGGTCTAAAATTGAGTAGACAAGTTGATGGACGGACCAGCCTCTCTTATAGGCAGACATTGAGGAGAAGGGAGAAAGCTACTTGAAAGTGAATGTATGGACGAGATTCCGGAGATGAAGATCCGAGAATGATCTCAGGTGACAATTTGCTGTGCGAAGCTCGGCTTTGTTGCTCACTTGAATTGAAATCGTCGCCCCAAGGCTTCTGCTATGAAGCGCGGTGAACTTGTGTACTGAGAGTAAATGAGCATCATAGTGATTCTCACCGTGTGAGGGGCATTGAGATTCTCATCTTGTTCCTTGGCAATCTCTTAAGATGATTTGTGCTTGAGAAGTTCGCTTCGTCTTTCAAGCACCTGGTGCCAACGGTGTCTGTCCAGGAACTATTCGGGGGAATCATAAGGACAACCATTCAGGGCGGAAGGTGCCTTTTTTGAGTCGCAATTCGAAAAGTGGTCTTGGAACGGTGCTACCGCAAGGACAAAAACTACCATGACGGCTGTCAAGGCTTGAATGAATGACGGGCCGACTCGTCGATGACATATTGAATCCTTCCCATTTCACTGGAATTATGGTCTTGCCATTGTTGATGATGTCTTCGTTCTCCTGAATGCAGGTAACGTGACGTCGCCTTCCCCTGACTTGCGCACCCTAAACTCCACCATGACGCCTGCCGATCTGAACATGCCAACCTCAGGTACCGAACAGCGTCCTTGACGTTATTCCGACCAGGAACCAGGGGAAGGCGGACCTTTTTAAATCGGTGCAAAGTTAGGAACGCGCTGCAATCGGGCGAGCCGCGGATCCGAACGATGGCGATGGAAGTGTGCATCCGCTAATTGTGGCTTGTGCAGTGCGACCCTCCCTAGGCATGCCACGCCAGCTGCCACTCCAGCCGTCACTTGACAGGAACCGGATCACGGAATGTTGCCTTTCGGGTTCGCGCCTTGTTCGCACCTTGCCTGTCAGATTATTAGCCATACCACCGTCATTTACTCCGGTATTGGGGGTCCGGTCCCCTCCCCGTTCGTGTGAGCTGCAGCCCTGGCTTTCGCATCATCTGGACCAAGAGGGCGGTGCCTTGCATCTGCAGATGTCTGGGTGGCCGAGCACACAGCTCACTCGACTAGAGCGCAGCGTGGCGTCTTCGGTCTGATCGCGGCGACTGCTGCTGACGGCCTGGTTGGCTCGTAAAGAGGGGGGCAGAGCGAGGCATGGACTAGTGTCCTGAAGTGGACGAACCCGCAGGCCGATTTGAGACCTGATGATGTAAGGCTGTCTTGAGGCTGCGGGAAAGGCTCGAGAGACATGTGAAGGGTGGGGCCTTCGGCCAGACTGCCACAAGGCGGAGAGCAAGCTGAGGTGCAAGGTACCGTACTTAGTACGGCTTCGGAGAGTTCACGGTGCACGGCGGGACATGGCCGTCCGGGTTTCTGGTAAGGTCGAGTCGTGCATGGGAGCGCGAGCTTCTTGAGCCTTGACAGGTTGCCTTGACGCTCTGTCTCTCTCACATGGTGGTCCAACCTTGCGGGGAGGGGCGAGTCAAAAATAGGTCTGCGTGGCGGCGTGGCGGCGTGGCTCTGACTGTGATTCGGCACGAGTCTTGCTGTAGTCAGCAGCAGCACGTCCATCGACCCCTCTTGTTGGCCGCGAGGGGGCGGGGCTCAGCGGTGCGCGCCCCTCGATCCTTATCACGTATATCGAGCGGAGCAGAGAAGGGCAGAGCAGAGCATCTCGCTCAGCACATGCCACAGCCGACAAAAAGCGCGGATGGGATGGCGTGGGATGGAGTGGGATGGGAATCATGACATCTTTGCCGTGGCCCTGACGCGGACATGGGTGTCGAAAGTATCTGCGCCTTGCAGGTACGGTGCAAGCAGTGCAAGCGGTGCAAACCGGCTCGACCTTGAAGCTCATCACGAATTTGATGAAGCAGATATCACGATTGACGACGCAGATCTCCCGATTCACGAACAACACCTGCCCTGTCGAGGCCGGGCTGACTTGGGTGGGTCACGCAGCTGGTTGTCGATACTTACCTCGTACTTAGTAGAACCAGCCGGCGATTTACTGTCCATGGCCGGCCTTGGCGAAGAGGTGCAGCCGCCATATTGCAGCACTCTAGCTGTGGACAGGCTGCACGCGTACCCCCATCTGGCAAGGACAGGCACAGCTCAGGAACGACTCGATCATGAAACAGCGAAGGTTGGGCACTAGCCGACCACTCGGTGCACTTTTCAGCTAAAGCTGAGACCCGCCGAAGCGCTGCAAAATAATGGCCCGTCGCCGCCGCTGGCTGCTGAGCCGCCACTCTCACAGACCAGACCACGGGTGACGGATCACAGACCGCAGACCATAGACCACAGTCCACAGACCACAGACCATAGGCCATAGGCCATAGGCCATAGACCATAGACCATAGACCACAGCCGCAGACCTAGACCACAGACCACCGCCCATCACTCCCATCCCGACGTGAAGAGTCAAGACTACATACATACAGTATTGCGTCCGGCGCCGCTACCACGGACTGCGTGCAACCTCACCACGCCCCCTCAACCACAACTCGGGAAGTAGGAATACGAGTACTGTAATTGTTGAGTCTGCGTCTCTGAACCACGGGCGACTCGAGCGGCAACTTCTCGTCTCGCCCTGGTGTCCATTCCCACCCAGCGTTGCACGACACACCCCTCTCGCCTCCCCTTCCCTCCCTTGAACCAACAACTACTCAGGCCTGGGTCCAAGCAACCCTCCACAGCCCACCACCAAGCCTTTAGCAGCATCGGCATCCACCTCCCATACCACAGTACAGACCACAGTACAGACCACAGGACTAATCGGCTGCTCGATCCAGCCATCCGTCAAATAAGAAGTCACGCCTCCCCAGGGCAATACCGTGCTCGCAGCATTGCCCTAGACTAGACCACTCACCACTCTGCCTTTGCCTCTGCCTCTGCCTCGCCGGTTCCTCATCCCTCCCCCCTCATCCCTCCCCCCTTTCCCGACTGCCTCCCTCTCCCCCTACCTCCTGCTTTTGCGCCCGGCGTGCCTTTCCCGCCGCTGCAATTCGTAAGCCCTCTTCGCTTATCGTCACACTAAAAGAGCCCCCCCCTCTCCCCCGTCAATCATCTCTTCATCTCTTCATCTATTCCTGCCCTGCCCTGTCCTGTCCTGTTCTCGCTCTCCCCTCCATCAAACCCGCAGACCTCTATCCGCCATCCGCTCTCCATCTCATCCTCCGCCTCAGCCTCCCCCCGTGGTGATACCGCAGACAAAGACACACAGATCGTTGGAGACATCGTTATCCTCGCCTTCATATCGATTTGCACTCTTATTTCAAAAGCAAACCTGCGTTTTCCTTGCTCACAGGGTGACCCTTGTCCTGTCCTCGAGATCCGCGCGCGCGCATTCTCCCGGTCGCATAGGACCCATCCCATCGCCTTCCGTGCTTTCCCCCCCCCCGCCTTCGTCTTATCGACATCGCCATATCGCGACATCACATCCGTGTTAAAAGGTCTTCATTAATCGCGCACTGGTCCTTTCTGCAAAACCCGCAAACCCTGCGGAGAGACACGGACGGTTCTGCTGGTCAAGCCTCGTCCTCGACGCTTCGGGTTGCAGACCCGGACTGCGGCTTGTACCAACCTCGTACCTGCTTCGGGCTTACGAAACAGAACAATCCCGTCTCATATGTCTTGACGCGCTGATACATCATCTCCCCATCGACCTGACCTCTTCTATCCTCTCCTCCCGACCTCCTGCGGATCCCCGCCCTCCGCTATCTCAGCACGGCGATCCCCAGCCCCTTCGTCATTTATACACGACGCCGAATTACATCGCACAACACAATCATGGCCACCTTTCGACCAGTCAATACCATACTGGCTTCCGACGCTCCTCAGGGCCAACGTGCTGGAGAAACAAATCCTTTAACCCCGCGACCAAACACCGCGCCAAACACCCAACTGCAAACGATGGGTCGGGACGACGCAACCACCCCGACAAGAGCCAACTTCGGCGCTTTAGCAAGTCAGAGACCTCTACCCACTTCATCACCCTTCCCAGCCGCGATGACCGTCCCCTCGAATGAGGAACCCAAGAAGTCCTCCTTGAACCGTGGCGACTCGCAGCATTCAACCAAGTCCCGAGAATCTGCGGATGTGGACATGGATGACGACGGAGACGAAGAAGGAGAAGAAGGGTCTGAGGATGAAAGCGTCAACGACGACGGCACAAGATCGAAGAAGAAGAAATCACAAAGGTTCTACTGTACCGAATACCCGCCGTGCAATCTCAGCTTCACCCGAAGTGAGCATCTTGCTCGGCACATCAGGTACGGTTCACAACCTCTTCTCCCCAGGCCTTGCCCGTACTGACATTTGCAGAAAACATACTGGTGAACGTCCCTTTCAATGCCACTGCTCACGCCGATTCTCGCGACTCGATAATCTTCGACAACACGCCCAGACTGTACATCAGAACGAAGAGATACCACAAGATTCACTAGCTGCAACTGGAACGCGATTCCAAAGGCAAGTGCGGACAGATAGGGTCAGACCGCCAGGAAGCAGGAGTAGAGCCTCGACTGCTGGAAGCGCGCCGGGTGTTCGGGGGCATCATCGAAATTCACTTTCTGCATCTAGCATCGGGTCAGTTGCGTCGACGTACAGCCAAAATGCTGATGTCCGGCGACGGCCACCGCCTTTAGTCATGGCCGGAGAGCCTCGAGGTAGATTTCCTCAAGATATGTATCGACCAGATAGTCCGTCCTATCAATATCGTCCGCATTCCCCAGGAGGCTTTAGCACGCCCACCTCAGCAACTTTCTCGACCGGTCAGAACAGCCCACGGTGGAGTTCTGCCATGCTGTCACCGAGTATGGGTCACTCCCGAACTCAAAGTCTTTACTCTGGACATCGAACTCCGGGCCGTCGATTATCCGTGCCATCTGCTGGAAATCCTTTCACATCGCCTCATGGTGGACAATCTTTTGGCCCCCCGCTTCTGGGTAATAACCAAGGCGGATTTTCACCTTCTAGCAGTATGATCAATAGCCCAACTACCTCGAACAGTGGATCTACATGGTCACGACGGGAGTCGATTAACGCCTCTGATGAGGCATGGAGACGGAGAACATGGCACCCAGAGACCTACTCAAGCTTCACCAGTCGCCTGCAGAATGTTACCAGTGCGAACAATTATTACTCTTCGGGCCCACCACCTCAACCCCCGATTGTTCCAAGCAATGCTGCCCCCGTGCAATCTATGCGTCTTCCTGGAATTGAGAGCTTTGACCCGTTACCGCCACGGCCCACGACTCCTGTTCGACGTCAACCGAGCCCCATGATGATTGACACACCCAGTCGTCAGATGCCACATCCTGCCGAGCAGCACCAAATTGAGAGACCGAATAGTCAGCAGTGGGACCAGGGGATTAACCGGAATATGAATCGTCTCGACCTTGCTCAAGGAACCCCTCCAACCGATACGGCCAGTTCATGGGCTTCTGAGGCGGATAGAGCAGTCCAGGCACAGGCCGAACAGGCCAGAGCGCAGCCAGCCGTTCGGTTCGAGGAGTCACCTTACTCAGCAAGACCACATACAAGCGGCGGTGCATTTCACCAGCACACAGTCAGCGCTCCCCCTGTCACTCCAAGAGAAGCCAAACGACAGGCATGGTATCATGGCCCAGTTTCTACTCAGCACACCATGGCACCCGTCCAGAGGACGTCTCCCGCCGAGTCAAGCGACTCCGAGAGAGGAATTCCCCATACCCCAAGCAGCTCAACATTGGGCGAGTATAACCCCGGAATCGTCCATTCAAACGGCTGGGTCGAGAACCGAAATGGAGGCAGTATCCCGCCTCCACAAGACCCCCGCGCTGTCCCAACAAACGGATACGCGCCCTACCCGCCCCACAGCGGGACGGAAGTTGCATACACCTACGCCTCTAGTGCTCAGCAACAGGCACAGCAGCAACATCACCAGATTCCCAAACCGACGGACAGCAACATGCTCAGGCTAGAAGCATTGGTTGCTGTGGCTACCAGCGAGGAGAAGGTGGCGACGGCCTACTAATGACAACATCTCCCGAGTAGTGGGGACATCTTGATCGTGGCGGACGAACGAAGAGAGAAGGCACTTTTGTGTTGTATATACACATTCTTCATAAGATACCCGCGTTTTTTTATATACGCCACGACGTAACGACGACACACGACACCGACAGAACCTTTCACGACTGGGCTTCGGCAGGAAGGGGTGGGGGGCGGATGCGTTGGGCATTCTCCGGCGTTCTTGAGACCATTTCCGTATCTGTTGATGGGTACAAGGCATTCTTTTAGCATCTCTGGTTTGCATATAGCATCTGTTCATCTGCCTCACCCTTCGCTCGAGGCTTGCATTTTTGGGCACGGTACAGGTTTGGACCCGCCCGGGTAGCGTGCATGTTTTGGATTGGGCTTTGGGTTGGATTTGGCCGGGATTCGGATTGGGCGGTACGAAAGGGCGGGATGGCTGCTTGATTATACCCTTGCTATCGTTCGATGTGCTTGCTGGGCAGGTGGGCAGAGGGATCAGAGGCGAAGGGTTGAGCGTAATATGTGTGTAGCTGAGAGGGCTGGGTTGAGTGGGGGCAAAGAAGAGGGACACGGGAGATGCTTTTTAGGGGAGGGAGGATGAGAGGAAGGGAGAAAGGAGGAAAGGAGGAAAGGAGAAGGCTCAGCCCTGGTCTGGTCGTGCAAGTTATACATTGTTGGCATGAAATTATATCTGAACACTCCACACACCTACTGTCAGTCGTCGCACTCCCCCATCTTTCCCAACATGCATATCCTATCCCTAGCCCGCCAGGACTTGTGTAGGTATGCTCTTTCTTCAAAGTCGAGCCAAGTGGTTGACCACGGGCAAGAATCCCCACCATACACTTACCCTTCCCCGGGGTTATGGCATGAGCAGCGGGATGGGTGGGTGCGTATTTTGGGGGGGGATCGTTTTACATTTTCCCAGACCATTGATGCATTCTTCGCCCTTCTACTGCGTTTTGAAAACTGTGCGAGCCTTTCGGATTGAGCAGGATAATGCTGCTTCCTTTGTCTCCAGGGGATGCTTCTCAATCATGCCATTAATTCGGCGAAGTTAGATTTCCACTAACAAATACAACCAAGACAGCAGCGTACGCAGCACAAGCAGCAAAAACTTCTGATCTCTTCGCGTTCGTCGCAAAGCCCACACATGCTGCAAACGCGACTGTATATCCGGCAATCAGCCCCAACCGTTTCTGGTTGTCTGGTACCCAGTAGAGGTTATAGATTGCTCCAAAGAGCAAGGCTGCCGCCAGAACAAAGTTGATAATGGCAACTGTAAGCCTCAATTTAGCCTCCGAGAAGTAGGTGAGCGGGCTGTCTGTTCTTTGAATCTGAGTTGGATTAGAGAACGTTTTCTTCCTCAGAAGTTGGTTGACTCACTGTGAAGAGAATGCCAAAATAGTAGCGCAAAAAACCGGTTAATCTATCCTCCTCTTCAGGTGAAGACAAAACTAAAAGGTCTTCCTCGTTATCGTAAAGAGTGGCGCTATGTCCGCCGAGTGTTGGGAATGGCTCTCCGGGTTTGACCCCATGAAGATTGTTGAAAACGTTTTGGAAAGCCGAAAGAGACCTGGAGGACGGCTTTTCAATGGACAAGGTCATCTTTTCAAGTAGAATCGCCTTTCCTACCCAGCGTTAAACGACTTTTTACAAGTATGGATCTAGACCTACTGTATTTCTCAAGGGTCTCTCTGATCTCTTTGACCAAGATCATTCGCTTCCTTTGCCTCTCGTTGTCTTGAGACTGGCTCTTGAAATCCGCCCAGTTCCGAGCACACTGTTTGTCTGTCATTGCCCCCTCGACATCTTCCGTATCGTAAGCAATCTGGCGGGCTTCAAGTTCAGCAAGTTCGCTCTGGAGATAGAGCAGATTCCGCGTAGATAAGCGGTCGAATCGACGATATATGAACGTGCTTCTATCATTGTCACTGACAATGAAGGCAGAAAGAGAGGGATATCCGTTCAGTTGCTGGGTTTTAGACATTGTGAGCTTCGAGTCTTCGACGGAACGTCCCTCCTGTACTGCAACTTTATAAGATAATAAGCACGAGTGCGGGACATAAATTACGCCTTGCGGTGCGCCCCGTGCTAAAAGAGTCGTTCCGGGGCAGTGCGATTCGTCCAAGGGAGAAGTGGCTGCATGATCACGGGATTGAACCCCCCACGACGCGTCGCGCGTTCTCGACTTTGCCGAGCTGCCTTGCTGCGCATTTTCTCACCCACTTCTGAAAAACCAGAGCAGACCGATTAATACTCTCTGCACAAACTGTTACAATCATCTAAATCGACAGCGCGTCGCAACATTGATCATTGCATTTGCCAGACAAGTAAGGCCGTCAGGCGAGGCTCCACAGGGCCTACGAAGCTCTCGGAACGGGACCTGGCAAGATGTACTACCTCGGAGAAGTTTCTGATTCTTCTAATCGTCCATTGAAACGAGCCAGGGTAAGTCAATCTATTTTGCTGGATACAGGTATGATTGGCATGTATTGGCGCTCTGGAGATCTCATAGGAGGGACACAGGGCGCAACCTTTATACCTGCACTACCCTACTGTCCTCCCACGTCTCTCTCCAGCCTCCTCTATCTTCTGCAATTGTCTTTCCCTTCAGATAATCTGAGCTGACGACACTGCAAAGTTCGGTGATAGCTTTTCATCCCTCCACCTCGACGCAGGCATCGATCCGGTAGTAAGGGAGCTCTTCCCGGAACTACCCACAGACTTCCCTCCATTCCCAGTCTGGAATGCCTCTATTCTTCGATGGCACACGCGAATGGACTTGCCCTTGACCATTTATGGCGCAACATTCATGGCTCGGCCTGACTCTGGCTGCGAAGACAATATCGTCGACGAACACACAGTTGCAGCACTTGGACTCTACATCGATAGGTCTGCAAGTAACCAGAAGATATTTCGCATGGCGAATGGGCGAAGTGCGCGAGCAGTTGGACTGACATCTGTATCATGCTATTTCCCTAACGAGCCCTGGAAAGAACTTCAGATTCAGTTCTACGTCTTCGCTCGATTAAACACACCCATGATCATCGGACTCTCTTTCCTGGATGATACACAGACCCTCGTTGAGAACCGACATCGCCTTCAGCCTCGAACGTCATCATGCCGTGGGCCGTTCAAGGTGTCTCGACTCAACAGGCCAAAGCGCTGGCTTAAGTGTCTTGTCGATTTGGCACCGGTATTGGCCAATCCTGACACAGGATCTGATATTGATCTGATGTCACTGGCGTATGTCCAGAAACGGGGATTTGAATGGCAACCGGTCGAGCCAGAGGAGTCAACCGTCGAGTTTGCCGACGGAAGCACCGCACAGCTATCAGGAAAGCTGGTGGCCTCTCTAGCCATCTGTTCCGACGTGTTTTCGACGGAGACAATGACTTTCTATGTGTTGGAGAATCTGACATGTGACATGTTATTTGGAGAGGATTTCCTCCAGATGAAGGAGATTTTCCGACCCCACACAACGGCTTTAACAACTCACGAGGTGGATATGTCCATCTCGGATGCGAACACTATTCTGTGGCAGAAAAAGGCGGAAGCTCGGCTGTTGGGATTCTTTTCAGACGGAATAGGAAACGAACGTTCTTCGCAAAGGCAAGGTAAAGGCGCGATTTTGACAACGAACGAGGAGCGGCTGAGCTAATGTGTTAGAAACAACAGATTTGAGATATTATTCGCGGAGGGAAGTGGACTTAGAGGCCAATGAGAACAGAGACCCCCAGACTCCTAAGCAAGGAGAAGGGTCCGCAGACATCGCCAGAGCAATGACCCAAATGGAGATTCTCGAAGAGGAAGGGAGAGAGTTGAATCGCCGAGAGCAGGCCGCAAAACGAATTGAGAGTCTTGCCGGACCGTACAAAGAGACCGCCAGATCTGCTGAATATGTACGGATAGTTCGTTGGGACACGTGGAGGGCGAGTATCAATCTTGGAACTCCAAGTCAACCTCACGAGTACGGGGAGTCTCCTTCATATCCCCGCGGGGTGACTGCCTCAGACGACACTGTATCGCCAACCGGAAGTAGATCACTACCAGAAACTCAACCTCGACCAGAAACTCAACCTCGACCAGAAACTCAACCTCGACCAGAAACTCAACCTCGACCAGAAACTCAACCTCGACCAGAAACTCAACCTCGACCAGAAACTCAACCTCGACCAGAAACTCAACCTCGACCAGAAACTCAACCTCAACCATCGCCCCGAACGCCTGTTAGAGAGGGAATGGCGACGACAAGTTCCAGAAATACCTGTATACCTCCTCAAACTCCAGTGCCTTCGTCCCGGGATCGGCCAAGTGGACGGCCTATCCAAAGAGTGGGGACAGTAAGTCCCAATAGCACTTATACGCGTCCTCAAGCGTCGGATCTGCCAAAGCGACAACTCTACGAGTGGGGAATGGCGACAACAAGTTCCGCCAATACCTACACGGCTGCTCTAAACCCGAATGAGTTGATTCGGCCTCAAGCTCTTGGACAGAGAGTGGGAAGCTCCCCCAGCTTCAACAACCCCCACACTCCTCCCGCAACCCCCGATCGACCAAATCGGCAGCCTGTCAGACAGGAAATATTGGCAACAAGCTCCGCCAACATTCTCACGCCTGATCAGTCCCCGATTGGAACGAAGAGGCAGTCCACCTCTGCCACGGACCTGGAAATCGGACCATTCTTTTTTTGTGGCTATGAAGGTTGTCGCTTCAGCCGCCGCGGTGGGAAAGGATTCACAACGGAAATGGACTTGCGCAGGCATTATAATGGAACCCACGCTCCTGGATACAGGTGTCCCCTGTGTGCAGAAAGCCCGCGAATATTTCCGCGTTCAGATCTTCTACAGAGGTGAGTGAATCCCAAACATAGACTATGCAGGCCGATGCTAAGACAAACATGGAAGGCATTTCAGGGGCTTCCATGGGGGTGTAGATGAGAACAATTGGCCATTTCTTCAGGCACTCAAATATAAGGTTAACGCGGAGTAAGGCTTGGATGGGGTGTGCAATTTGCTTGAAGACAATTCTCAAGACTAACAGACAGCAAGGAGGCAGCCATGCTCTTGAGCCAAAGCATAGAAAAAATAGATTTCCACTGGAAGACGTTTCTCTATCCCACCATCGAGTATGAACGCTTGCCATTGAACCCAACCTCGGAAAAGAGATTTCACTCGAGTACGATTCTCACACCGCAATCCATTCTGGTATGATCGATGTGGGAAGGGTGTTCTCCCCTCATATTTTACCCCCGCGTAAGTACCCGAGTCCATCCCTTAACAAATGCCCAGCACTACCCCTTAACAAGTGACGGGCAAGCTGCCTTGCAATACCTCCAGATCGCGGACCTGTACTCGTAAGCTCAGCGTGAAAAATCTCCACCCGTACCAGAGGGGTCCTCTCGACGAAGTAGGCCATGATTTCACTGACCTCTAGTCGCTCACGACTAGTAGGGGCCTCACTCTCGACACGAGTACTCGTCGTCGGATGGTTTCCATACCCACCTCGGCGGTGGACAAATTTGGCGATGTGTAGATACATGACCGCCCTCGCAAGTTGTTTCGCAAGTTCAAATCGCTGATCAAGAGGAAATGAAATGTCGCCGTCCATGAGAACCTGCCGTAAATTACGAGGGTTTCGGAAACCTTTGGGGATCCCGAAGACGAAGTCGATCTTGGTGATCAAGTTGTGGGGCCTTTCATGCTTGATTACACTATTGCATGGAAGTAAACCTGTTGCATCGAGAAGAAATCGTGTGCTGTCGAGACCCAACCTATGCAATTTTCTCGCAAGATCACGGACGGAGCGCGGGCTCCAGAAAAGAGTGCTGAACTGACAGGAACAGAAGCACTGCAAGTGGCCCATCCGTCTGGCCCAGTTTAAGGTTGAAGGTGCTTACTTTGCTAGAAGGAGAAGCTTCTTGTGCGAGCGAATTCGACATCGATTGATTTGTGGTTGGATCTGGTGCGAGGCGTTGAACTTTGACCATCGCAGATCCTGCGTGAGATAACAATAACAACCTGCTGCAAAAGTCGAGCAGAATCTCTATTCACAAGCCGCCATCATAGGGGTCTGAAGGGAATTGAGGACGGCTGATGCAACTCACGATGCGAAGTGTTGATGTTGAGGATAGAAGAAGGTACGCCGACACACAAAATGAGGGGTGTTTCTCGGATCCGCTCGCCATTACGCGAATACGAAGCTGAGTGCCGAGTACGGGGTCTCGGCAGCTGCGGTGGGTCAACATCGGCCACAACGACAAGCCTGAGTCGAGGCTTGGATTTTGAACACCGGGGTCCTCAAGACTGCGCATCCTATCATTGCGTACTAGAACCTTAAAATATCCCTGATCGTGCGTCAGGACTTGCACCGAAGCCCCTACGTCCCTGCGGGTTTGGTGCGGACTAGCGATATGGTTTTGTTGCAGCAGATACGGGCGTTTTTATAATAACTTCTACGATTTCATAAAATCAAAAATATCATAAGAAGCCAGAAATTGCGTAATTGTCGGGCACACCTCTATATAAATCCCCTTTTTTTAAGATCCTCTGTTGCGTTGTGAAGTTATTAAGAAGTTCTAGATTCTTTTTGTTAAGGGTGGAAGCGACCGTATCGCTAATTTTCCACCGTATCGATAATCCGTACTCGTATATCAGGGGTCTCTATTGGTGCGAGCATTGCCGCACGATTATTCGAAGCATCAACAGCCAACCGTGCGTCCGCTCGATGAAGGCGGGATCTTCGGCCGGGTACGTGTCAGAGCAAAGTTTACCAACAGCTGTGTTGCATTGCGTGCAATTAAGCAGTACGAGCTATCGCTAGTGAAAACTTGGTACGCGGCTGCTGCCATATCCGATGCTGCTGTGCAAAACTGAATTAATTCAGAGCAGCAAAGACCAAGGTTCATCCTAGGTGATGACGAGCACATCCTCGCAGACTGCATCTCGTCTTTCCCAGAAGTGTAGCTAGCTTCATGGAGATACCCCTGTTCTGTGCTACTGTGGATTTAACGTTCGAATGTCAGCCACAAAGCAACGTACGTCTCTGGGGGGTTAAACAGACAAGTCCAAAGCTTGAACTGAGATAAATAGCCATACTCCGCTATCTAGTATTGAGCTAATTCTTTCTTCAAATCAACGCTGGAAGTTCTCCAGAGTATTGAAATCTGCCAATCCAATCTCTACCCACAACGCTTGAGCTTCTTACTTCAACCTTCCAATACTTGTCCTCTGCTCTTTCCCTAAGCTCTTTGCTCTCTGGCTCCTCTTCATTGAAACTACCTACCAAGATGGATCGCCACCCAGAAGACAACTCCGCTCCGCCGTACTCCGAATTCCCCACCACACTCTCAAACGAAATCCTCAGCAAACCTATTGTCATACCTCGTAAGCCATCCCTTGCTTCCCCTCCAAGTGGATCTTCTCACTAAACCTCACTCAGAACAAACCAGCATTCTTCACATCAAAAATTTCTCCCCGTTCGCTCGCGCCTACTCTTCCTCCCTTCAAAAGCTACCCTCGCCCATCCCCCGCGACACCTTCCTCTCCTTCATCGACGGCCTCAACGCCGCCTTCCTCTCGGCCCCCGTCTTCCAAGCTGCGAACATAATCGGCGGCGGACTTATGGGCAGTCAGATCCCGCCGGCCCAGCTAGCCGGCGGCGTGGTGCAGATCCTCTCCGTCATAGGATCTGCAGGGGTGTCGATTGTGAGGGTCAAGAGGTACCTGAAGAAGTCGACCGAGGAGATCTTCAAGCCGCGGGGGCTGTGCTTGCGGATTATGGGCACGAAGAAGATGATGGGTGCTGTTGGGTGTGAGAACGTGGATGCCAAAGGAAAGCTTGCGTTGCCTGCCCCTGAGGTTCTGGGGGATCTCACGCCGCCACCCGCTGCTCTCCCGCCATACCAGGGGGGAGGAGACTCGGACCCTGGGGATCGGAAGGAAGAGGTGCAGGTTGAGGATCCGCGGGTGAGGAGATTGAAGGCATTGGAGGGGTTCATTGCTCCCCTGGAGTTTGAGAAGGAGGCTGCACCGACGAGGGCCCGATGGATAAATATGGCGGTGCTCCATTACGCTGGTTAAACAAGAAGCAGGATGCGAAATTGCTGAAGGCTGCGACGAAGTCTGCGGAACACAGGCGAAAGAATACCGATGTTGTGGAAGAGGAGTTCCTGAATTGCGAGACGGAGATTCGGGGGATTGAGGAAAGAATGGCAGAGATTAGAGTGAGTGCAAAGCAGGAGTTGGAGGGGGAGACTAGGCAGGAGGGGCGGGATGAGGTTGAGGCGAGGGTGGAGAGTGAGCTTGCTGAGTTGGAAGGGAGAAGGACTGAATTAGAGATGGGCAGGGATGAGAGGGTGAGAGAAGTGTATAAGAAGGGGGATAAGAAGCTGAATAAGTTGGCGAAGAAGGAGGAGAAGATTGCAAATAGGATTTTGTGGGTCGTGATCACAAGAATGGATGGAGATGCAGGTGACGACCTTGTTGATGTGGAGAGTCTGGGGAGTTAGACGATCGGTGGTGATTTTATCATTTATGGTTTTGTTTGTCATTGCTCCTTCATGATGTGGTGAATGAATTCATATCAGGTCAAAGGCGCAGCAAATACAGATGGAGGCAGCCTTGTTGCGCTTAGCTAGCTCAAGGATATCTAATATCGAAAGTAAAGGGCTAAAATATGCTCCCAACCCTGTGTTTCACAAATCAGTATTCTGGAGACTTCAAATAGGTTTAAGACCAATCCGAGTTGTGAGTAATCTTTCGAGGTCATCAGCAGCGCTGAATCAGCGGGGCCGAAGACTGATTTTACACATTGTCCCTAGGCAACTTTCATCCCCATCTCGTTTATCGAGATCTCTTGGCTTGGCTATTTTTACTTCATACCGGAGTCTTGGTAAGGAGATTCTTTTTGGCTAGTGGAATAAGAGACACTAGACCAATAAAGCCTTTACCCCTGAGACTGGCTAAGTTTCGATAATCTGTTCTACTGGTGACGGGAATATGAAACACCGGTCCTCCGTTACTCAGCTTTTGAAATTAGCAGCCTCATTGGATGGGAACACTTGGCAGGAACAATAGTCCACCTGTTATGGGGTTCTTTGGCTATGATCGTGCACCGCCTTCCCCAACGACCGAGCTCGCTTCGGATGTCCGAATCTCAGCCAACCAACCACATTTCGCCTACACATGAAACGAGATCCTTCATTCTTGGTTACACAACGGTCAGGAATAGAAGCGGATTACCCCCTTCCTGCCAAAAGCAACGGAATGAATTGGAGATCGCGGGACCCCCTCAAGACCGAGAGCCGAAAGTTTATAAAGGCGGCAACTCAAACCCTTTTCTCAGAATTAAGGTCAGAATTTGTTCGCTTAACTTTCGGTAATTGAGACGCTCCGTCTTACTTTTGAAGCTGAACTGGAGAGGAAGCAATTGTGATTGGACGCCATTCACTTCACCCCTTGCAGCAACCCCGCGTCGCACCTGACCCCGCCCTGCTATCGCGTCCACCACCAAACTCTACTTTCTTCATACCTACATCCTCACTTGCTTCAAGCCATCCAACTTAGGTCCTCCCCCCCTCCCATAACCACTTGAAGAACCTCACAGCCACCCACAATGGCGACAACGAAAGGAACCTTCACCCACTACAGCGGCCCGCTCTCCGGCCTCCCCTCCACCAACTCGCCAGGCTTCATCTTCCTCTCCACCTACATCGCCGGCATCGACGCCCTTGACCGCTCCTCTCCAGCGGCCAAACAACTGCTCGAGATCCTCTCCCCAACCGCAACGTTCACCAACAATGGCGGCGAATCCTTACCGCTAAGCAAAGTGGAGGCCATGTTTGCACAACGACAGGGCATGCTGCAGTTGTTTGAGCATGGAAATCCGGTTGTGACATGGGATTTGGAGACAGAAGGGGGTGGGAGGACGGTGGTGCTTGAGTGTGCTAGCAAGTAAGTTCCGTTTTCTTTCCATCTACCCCATCTCTCTTTTGACTAGAATGACAGCTGATAACGGCGGGAATAGAACTGTCTTCAAAGCCGACCCGAAAAAAGAAGAAGTCAAGGTCGCTGAATGCCTATTCGCCAAACTCGAGTCTGCGCCTGAGGGCAAGGGGGTCGCGGGCTTGTGGGCGACAGAGTTGAGGGTGTACATGGATTTTGGCACGATACATGCAAAAGGAAAGGAGCTGATGGATTTGGTCAAGAAGTAATATGGCGCGAGGGCGAGCATATGCGGAAGTGTGGATGAGTCGGAACGGCGAGGTGATAAGGGTGAATTTCCAATCTTGGTTCACTGGTGGAAGACAATGGGATCGGGTGTCAGCGGAGTTTTTACTTTGAGAAAGACGTTATGACCACTGACCAGTGCATGCGAATTGGAATCGGTGCAGCAAGAGGAATTGAAAATAGAAGCTTTCTTCTCGATCCTGTGATCTTAAATTGATTTATAATTTGAAAATTCTAAATCTTGCGGGGTCATTTCCAATCGTGTTTTATCTTGTCAACCTCTTCCTTTCCAACCTAGGGAGTGGATAGACTACCGAGGTCGGTTATGCTCGGAGAGAATGAGATCAGGAAGCGCGCTCTAACAAAACCATTCACTTCGTCGCCGGCAGATACGTGCCAAGGTGCTTTTTTTTACGAGGCTGTATATTCAAAGTCCACTCCCCTTTCTTTCCCTGCGGCAATGCTTAGCCGCACGCTCCAGCTTCTGGACCGGCACTCGGCACTCGGCACGCCAATAACATTTATACTTTCGTATTAAGTTTTATACTCCCGTATTAGTTTTTATCCTATTGCGCGCTGTGCATGCCCGAAGCGTGAAATAAGCAACCTCGTGATCTTATTAGGAAGGTGAGTGAGTAACCTTGTTCTAGAGAAGGTGTCGGTTAGTACCCGATATGCTACCGTCGCACGCTCTAGTGTTTCTGCCAGCAGCTCCGCCACATCTCTCTAAAGCCGTGCCCCATTCCTCCGCAAACTCAATTTCTTGACAAGATAGCGGATTGTGTGACTTCAGTACAATCTGACTGCAGTCTCACTGTAGTAGTGCAATTTGAATAGCTCTAAGTCCTGTCTAGTGCGAGACTTTTGAACCATGCTTTGCCAAAAAAAAAAAAGGCCAAGCCGCAGTTGAATCACAATTGCATCACAATTGCACCGCTGTTGCGCCAAAATCCCAGTTTAAGCATTTTGACACATTCATTCCTAGTTTAAACCGGGCGTACTTCAGTCTGCTCAAAATAATTGCAGTTTGAGGTGTCTTGTCTGCACTGCTCCTGTCGCCGAGTGGGCGTTCTAACAACATCTCCCGGTGCCCTGGCTTCTATCTTCGCAAAGGGTTAAAGTATACAGCAAATATCACGCGCCTGAGCAGCAAGTATTTGTATATTGTTCCATGACGGTAGTAAACACTCCTGTCCCAACAGCTTCGATATCTGTCTGAAGTATTACTTGCGTAACTGCTGGGTTACACAAATTGCCATTGCGCTGCATCTCCACTTGGATTTTGCCAAGCGAAACGATAATGCGTGGTAGGGGTAGACATGACATTGTGACTCTCCGCACGCACTGATGTCTCTCGTAGGGCTTGTGATACAGTGTGATTATTGCAGTCATTGTGCTTGTACTTGCGGGAAACTCTAGGGTAAATTATGGTCATCTGAAAAGATACCGTACACGTTGTGAGAGATTTAGAGCCGATGGGCTTGTCCGCTGAGCATTTTTCAGGGGCTCGCTTACGGAGCGAGTCTTACGAGTTACCACCCTTCGCTTGCGGACTTTCCTCCCAACCTCGAACTAGCTCCCATATCACGGGAGGGATTCAATCCTCTCTGCGCCTTTTGGACAACCTTCCAAATTAGAATTGTACTAAGCTTGTATTTGTATATGTCAAGCTTTTGGGTGTCAATTAGTTTTGATTGATACTTTATTTTCAGCAGAGAATCACTTGGCCCTAGTGGAACGGATGTGAGTCTACCGTTGAAAAGCCAAAACTGTGCCTTAAGGATTGTTCAGAATATGCAAGCAGAACGACCCTCTAGGAAGTTACTAAATTGACGAAATTGACCTTGAGTACGGAGGTCAACGATCAGCGTTGAGTGCTTCTACGGGGTGAGGAGATCCAGGAAAGCAGGTAGCAAATTGAGATAGGTTTAGAATTGACGTTAATTCCATCCCTACGGAAAGGCCATACTATGATATATAGGATTGGAGAACCGCTGTTCGAGCTTTCTTAGATAGGTAGGTCATTGCACAGATTTCTCTTTTCCCAGATCGGTCGCGCGCGCGACAGCTCGTTCAGGCAGAGATAGCTTGCAACTATGCAATTGTAGCTTCTGCCGCGTGGGGGCGGCTCCGCACGCGCGACAAGGCCCTACTGCTTTACACAGATCATCGTTTCAAAAAGGGAAGCTCTGGATATAGTAGACTGAAGACACGCCGCACGAAGTGCATACCAAGGACATCTACATCAACCAGCATCATACGCCCGTCCACAATTTGAAGCACTTTAGAGTCAACATGTTCCTTGCAAAAGTGGCGAAGAGAAATTATTAGCAAGGAAAAGCTTGAAGAATCTTTCCAAATGTATGGTGCAGGCCTTTTGAGGACATGGATTTTAAGTAGTATCGATTCGAAGTGGACACACCGCTAGGATCCCCTCAGCTGCAATTGGCAAATCATGCTAGGCTGCCTCGCTGTGCCTCATCGCAATTCTCTATTGGGTTGAACGGGCAATCAGTTGTATAGCCTACTGGAAGATTCCCTCGAAACCAAGAGAAACCGGGTCTTCTCGGAGGTCACGGACTTCACCGTTTCTATCTAGTCTGATGGAATACGGCGTAGACCTTTGCCTATAAAAGATTGAATTTCCTCCTCTCCAATTTCTTTCTATCCTCAACAACATCCTCAAGCTTCTTCTCAAGACTCCACCCAATCACTGCTCAGTTCACATATAATTTGTTCTCACCCAACTCATACTTTCGTCCACCTTACTTCCAAAGCCCCAATCGAACCTTCAACTCTTCGCAATGGCCATCCCCGCAAAGATGATTTTGAAGCTCGCCTTCGCCGCCTTGGCCACGAGAACCGCCATTGCCGCACCGCGTGATTCTGCTGATTCTGCCGTCATTGGCTGGGAGACCGAGGATGACAGCATTGCCCTCAATGGATGCTACAACAATGGTCCTACCTTCGCTGAAGTGGGGTTCCAGGATGGTTCATTCATCGGCGGACCCTGCGCCTTCATTTTCCAGGGAGATTACGACGATGGTGGAGTCAAGCGCACTTGTATCAACGGCAATCCCGGGGACCGCGTCACTTTGTCTGTCCAACGCTTTGGAGGCAGTGGGCGTGGGAGCTTGAGCGAGCAAGACTAAGTGGTCATCTATCTTCTGAGCTTTGGAGCAGTGCTAACTTCCGTTCCCTACTTTCAGCTGCAATGCAGGTTTCACTATTGACTATAACGCCTGCCAGCACGGAAGTGAGCAAGACCACAACGGCTACCACTACGTCATCGACCCTAACAACAGCTCTTGCTAGACTTTGGGTGTGATAGGCAGAGCTTATCCTTGCTCACTTAAATGGCTATATATCATTCCTTTTGTTGTATGGGCCCGAGAACAGAAGGGAGCGGTGGTAAATGTGTTGTGACTCCAGAAAAGGATGAGAGGGGTTATTCTGTACAATCCAGAACGCTAAGGATGGATGCGAAGCCAACGTCACGGAATAAAACCTCTTGCCTCAATTTCTCAGGCGTTGATGGCCTTTCGTGCATCCTATTCAAATGAGTCCTAACAGGGAAAGGTGGATGAGTATTCAAATTGTCCCGAGCTTAAGGTCTTTGATGCAGGAAGGATGTTCGGGATCTAGTGATGGATGCAAGCCGAGCAATGATTCTATTCATTGAAGGGGCTTACGCCAAAATTTGGATAGAAGAGTACTACCGTCGTCCTTCAAGAAAGTCAGGACGGAGGAAAAGTGTATACTTCTGGCCCGAAGATCGACGTTAGCTCAAAACCCGATTTACGCAAAGGTCCAAAGACAACCTTAGGACTCGTGCAGAGACCCTGATGTCAAGAAAACAACTTACTCCGCACTGGATTGATGTTGTAATGGCGTGAGTTATGAAAGAGGCCAAGTGCTATCAGAGGGACATTTTCGGGAGGATATTATACGCGCTCTTTGAAGAAACAATATATCTTTGAAAGGAATGAATTCGCTCTACCTATTAGTTCCAAGTACGACGTCTTGGTTCATTAAATTAATAAACTAGAATTGATTATCGCAGACACTAAGACTGTCGATTTCTTTACAGACAACTTGTGAAGTAGTGACAATGCTGAATAGTGGGATCAACTGTTTTCCAACCTCTCTAGTATGCAAAGTCCCATTGAGCTGCGCTAGAAATTGGGTGAGAAGCACCCATGGCCCGCCTTTTATGGCCCATTTAGCATGAATTACAGGTCTAATAATCATTGCACAAACAGCAACGAAATTCGATCCGGCCAACGGAAAGCTTGAAACAATTGAACAGAGGCGTACTAATTTCTTGTGAAACTTCAAACTGTAAAATAAGATTCCGTCTACTATTCAAAAAACAGCCGAACTGATAATTAAACAAATGGAACTTCGAGCTTGTTCATGTCACAATGTTGCCTCTTCCTTACGAGCCCCGCCAATATCCTCTCCGCCTCCGTATGTCTCGGTGTGAGGGGGAAAGTTCGTTCAGCCTCAGGCACACATTTCGCTTAATTATTGCGCTAAGGAGTATTTAGCCTTGCTCCCAAGCTTCTACGAGCTTCACGCTTCTCTTCAGGAATTAATCGTAGTTCTAGGAATCTCTTGTGTTCTTACGCGACGTGTGTTTTACCCAGTAATTCGTTAACCTGGTACATGGTTCACTTCTGCCTCTTTGTCCTCCGGATCTTCATCGGTCAATAAGGTTGTGGGACGATCTTTACAGCTTACGTTCGCTGCAATCCAACACAGCCATCCGACTCCTCACTCTCTCCACAAATTCCTGGGATGATTGCATCAGATGCAACCTCGCCCACGTTGACTCGTCCAAACCCTCTCGCTATGAAGCTATTTCGTATTGCTGGGGCTCTCCCAGTAAAAAAAAATCGATATGCTTCGGCAAACAAAACATTCACGTCCGAGAGACTTTGGTGGGCCGCTCAGGCAGCTGCGGCTCGTCAATGAAGACGAGATTCTATGGGACGATGCATTGTGCTTGTATCTTAATCAGCATGAAATGAAATACCGCGGAAACTTGAGGCTCGGACCATTAATTTCAGCGGGGCTTCGGTTTGTTCCGGTCGATTTAATAATATTGATCAATTCCGCTTTCGCGTCGCGTCGTCTGACTATCACAGGGATGTCTATTACTTCAAGGACTTTCGTCACAGACGACTAAATGTGGGCTGTCGCGGTTCGTGTTGTTGAAATAGGATAAACATAACAAGCGATATCCACGATCTGGGAGCTGACATCGAGGTTATACGAGACGAGTGGGAGTTAGAGGGTGGGAATCCATAGTCAAGCGTATATGACGGAGTTGAGGACGTTTGCGGAGTGGGAGCTTCACATACATGACAAGGGTCGAATCCTCGCCAAGCATCTAATTCGGGAACTGACGACCCAATCCAAAAATATACGCGGCTAAAGACCACCCGCGCCCCACCACATATGGATCTTGCGCAAATGAATTCCATCTCGCAAATCGGGGTGCTTATTTTGATGCTTATATTAATGCTTGTTTCAACTAGATGAAACGTGCAGCGAGTTTTGGTCTCCATCAGGAATAAATCTGCGTGCAAATCCTCAACTTCTTCTAACTACTCCCCGAATTCCCGCTCCTAGACGCTGTGTCTGAGCCTCTTATCTAATACGCGTCAGTATGCGGAAATATGGTTAGCCAATAGGGTGTAAAAGAGCAGGTATACCTATAATGGCTTGCCAAAGTCCTTCCTCCGCACTGTGATTTTATGTAATCATCTAGCTATTACCCGGTGGACCGAAGTGCTATCCACGTCCCTGGAGGTATATTCTTAGCGCTGATCAACTCTGGATACTATGGTACTAGAGGTTGTCGGCATTATTTTCGGACTTCTGCTACCCCGAAATAACGTCAATGAGAGTTCCCTAGGTGTATTTTGGTCTTCCTAGACACCTTCCAGATACTTAAGTAGCGTCAACAAGCTCTTGTGTCTCTCATCATCGGTATCAACTCCACATCTCATCTAGTCATTACTATACTCACACACCGTTTCTCATCACATCCCCCTCCACACCTTTGAATTACCTTCGACATCATCCCTTTCTTTCAAGTCAATCATATCACCAGATATTATCATCACCATGCAGTTCTCATCCGGGCTCACCATCACCGCAATCATCCTCTCCATCCTCCCTTCCATCCTAGGAGCACCTCTCTCAGCCCATGGAAGCATCACCAACGGTACGCCATGCTTCGGATCCTCTGCTCCTGGTTGCACTCTTGTGCACGGGCAGAAGAGAGAAACCGAAGAACTCCTTGCCCGTGATCCTGAACCCGTCGCAGAACCCCAAAGCGGCGTCATCGGAAACCCATGCTTCGGATCCGCTGCTACTGGGTGCACACTGAAGCATGGCCACAAACGCGAGGAGGACCTCGTCACCCGTGACCCCGAACCCGTCGCCGAGCCGAATGCTGAACTTGTTGCCCGAGAACCAGGGCCAACCGCAAAACCCCAAGGCGTCGTCATCGGAGAACCATGCTTCGGGTCCACAGCCACAGGTTGCACATTGAAGCAAGACCGCAAGCGGGAGGAATAGCTTGCTACTCGTGACCCTGAGCCAACGGCAGAGCCTGCATCAGACCCCAAAGGCGCCTTCATCGGAAACTCGTGCCGTGGGCCTCTCTGTTTCCCTTAGTGATTCTTCGCTTTTTATGAATGCAAGATGAATTATTAGATAATCTGGTAACTGAAGCCTGTATATTGCATTCTATGGGATGGAATTTTGGTATATATAAGCACGGCACCGGGTTGAGGATTTATTTTAAGAAAAAATTCAATGGGCGAAGAATCCATTCTTGCGAGGATAGATAGACACACTTTAAAAGACGAATGAGATATTTCAAATCGTGCCACACTGTACAGACTATCGCGTTCATAACTTCCCCTTTCCTGTGTAGCCAGAGAGGCGTTGGTCTTTGTGAAAAGTCTCTTGAGTATCAAGCTCGGACTTAGGTAGGCTATTGCACAAGGGCAAATCTTCAATTACAAATTAGATTACCACAGGGTAAGACAAGAAAAACATACGGCTTGGTTAAGTCGTGCATGCACATCACCCCTCCCACCCCTTCCCCACAAATCACAAATCACAAATACGCAATAGATGAAACCTCCGCTCTCCCCCTCCCCTCCACCCAAATTACACCCAACTATCTGTAAACCTCGCAACCCTACTCCTCCTCACCTTCGGGTTCACAGGGTCTGGATTCGCGCCTGGCACCGTTGTCGGCTGCGCAGACTCAATTAACGCGCCCCAATCATCGATATCGGGCAGGGTCGGTGTCCCAGTCAAATCCAACCAGCTACCCCCACTCCTCCCCATCGCATTCCCCTTCATGTGGATCCCCTGCTTGTTACACACATCCTTATGGCTATCTGGGATCACCAGGCCCAGTTTTTGGAGTTCTGTGGGCGCTTCGATAAATACCATGGTCAGCCCCGCTTCGACGTGCCATTCGATGTGGCAGTGGAAAAGCGTGATTCCAGGGTTGTCGACTTTGAAGCGGATCACTGCGTAGCCGTTGCCGTAGATCAATATAGTGTCGCGGCGCAAGGGTGCGTCGGGGGCGTTTTTGGAGTAGTTCTTTGGGATCGTGAGAGGAGGTCCGTTGTCCGGACCGGCACCTGAGCGAGCGATTACTTGGAAGGAGTGTCCATGGAGATGGAAGGGGTGCGCGCCGCCGTCGTAGTTGGTAATTAGCAGGTCTACGACTTCACCCATTTTTAGGACGATGGGGTTCGTGTTGTTGCCGTAAATGAGGGGGTTATTGACTAGCTCGGCTGGGGCGGAGAGCGCGGTGTAGAGGGTTGGAACCTTGACCTGTTAGAAGGGCGAGGAGGGAGAATGGAGGGAAGCTACCTTGGGCGCGATGAAGGAGATGTTGTTGAAGGAGCCACGGTTTTGGTTCTGCACGTTCTGGCTGAAATTCACATTGAGAGGGATCCTGGTGCGGGGTGTGAGGGCGCGAGAGCATTTTAAGGGAGCTGAACTTACTGCTTAGTTACGGGGCCAAGAGGCTTTTGCATATCGAGAGGAATAAACTTGATATCATTTTGGCTCTTGCCATCATAATTGATCGCCGGAGGCGACGGGGGGAGCGGCTTCGTCTCGTCATACACGAGCCACCCGGTAACCTGTACCATATCAGCAAGGCACAGAGCACGGCTACCATTATATCCTCACGAGTGGGTTCAAGTTAACAGGAATAACTCCTTCATCAAACATGTCCTCGTTCATGGAGGCGGTGATAGCAAAGTTCTGCGTGGCGTTTCGCTTCGATTTCACGATGACGCTGTAACGCTGAGCCGCCGCTACAAACAACTGGCTGACACGATGCCGTTTGGTATACACTCCGTCAACTTCGACAACGTCCATGTCATGCTCACCAAACTGTAAATACTGGGCTGCGAATCCTCCCATATTGATGACGCGGAAAAGATAGGACTTGTTTGGCTTAATTGGGAAATGCACGTTTTGCGCTTCATTGATTAATGTGGCATTTGGAACAGGCTCTGAGCCACCGTGCAGGTCTTCGTTGAGTCCGGATTGGAAATATTGGATCAAATACGGAGCTTGTTCATGATACCAGTCAGAGACCGTGAGGACGATTTCCTCATCAATCTCCTTGACAAAAGGCGCTTCAGGATCATGGATAATGAGCGGGCCGCGGAGTCCATCTGATTTCCCCACGTCAGGATGCTTCTATTCGAGTGAGGATGGGAATGCTTACCGAGATATTGACCACCAACATGAGCATGCCACCAGTAAGTTCCAGTTTGCTTGATCTAATTGACTTGTAAGTAAATGGAAGGAGCATTTGTTCGGAATACACACCATGAAGTCATAAGTGAAAGCTAGAAATTGGTCAGTAGTTGATCCATCTCGGTGTCGAAGATCGGCTTACATTCTCCCGGAGGTATTGGACATTGTGTAACCATAGCCGGGCCATCCATCTGATTGGAGCCTTGTTGGAAGATCCCATGGAAATGAATTGCTGTCGTTTCGTTGACGAGGCAGTTGTGGACCTTCACTACCACCCGATCCCCCACATCCGCCATAATCGAAGGACAGGGCCATTGTCCATTGATTCCCACAGCAGGCCGTAAAAACCCATCCGGTGACGCCGACACCCAGTCCACATCCCAATTATAAGTAATGGTCTTCGCAGATATTGCAAGTACTTGCAGAGCAAGTAAAGTGATGCGTGAAAGCATTCTGAGAAGCGCACACCTAACCGTCGTGAAGCTAAACGAGAGACAACGACGATCCCATTCAGCGCATCTCTGATCCTCAAAACCGGGTCCCTGGAAATACTAATACTGATCATCAGTAAGAACGATGCTGATTGCAAGGCTCGCGCCACCAAATTGATTTTTGGGAGGAAACGCTATTCGTGATACAAAGGAAACTTGGCCACTGACATCAATTATGGCTTCCCTCGGAAGGCCCCGGATTGGTGCAACGACAAAGCCCAAAAGGCAGCCTCAGCCGAAAAAAGACCACGAAGTCCTCGCTTGGGCTGTCAATGGCCGAATTTGGCAGAATAAAATTAAGGGGATTGAGAACCTTTGTTAAATCTGATGAGCTGATAGCGCCAAGACTGCTTGCACTCACTTTCGCGATGCTGAAGGGGTTGTCTAGTACTCAGCCTTGTAAAGTTCGACCTTGCGATGACGAATGACTCCTTGAATTTGAAGAGGGAACATGCAGTGACACATCTTTGCTCGGGCCAGTGGTGTTTGTTTTACACTTGTAATTAATGTCACCCCCTGCCCCCCCCTAAATAAAACGTCGCGCGGGCAGGGTGTCGTATACGTCAGAACGGCCGTGCCAGCCTTGTCCCGCTACGTTTTATTCAGGGGTGGCGGAGAGTACCGCAAATTCGTTGGAGTTTGGTCAGTTGACGGCACAACTCGTTCACCGACCACCAGGACAGACGTCGGGATCTCCCCATTGTAATCCGCAAACCGAGCCGCGATGAACTTGCATCTCGAAAGGAAGATCCACAAAATCAGCTCATACTTAGTTTCTCCTCGTAGGAGAATCCCGTTGGAGTCCAGACACCCGAATTCTGATCTGCATCCTGTTGAACCCGGAACTCCGGTCAGTGGCACTGATCACACGGTAGGATGCCGTATTATTGGGTGGTTTAAGACACCGAGCGAGGGAAATACCGGCGGGGACTCGAACAGACCACGAAGGTAAGATAATGTGGTGCGCACAATCCGCTGGGATCTTACGAGCTGATCTAATCTCAGGAGCTGATATGCCACATCTTGATCTTGCGATCCGAGCCTGCAAGATACAACTCCAGGCCCGTCGAATCCTTCACCAACCGCGAGGGAAAGATCATCAATCGGCGCCCGATAATCCGATGTTTTCTGAGTGCGTCCAAGGGACATTTGACGCCCGGAGCTCTGGAGAACGGCCGCATCAGCTCACTTTTCAGCTCAAATTGCGCTGAGACTTCGGCGCTCGGAGCGTGGCTGACAGCTCGTCAGGCTGATTGTCATCGTGAACTCCTTCCGCGATAGTTTTGCATCTCCATGGATGCGCATCGTTTCCGGAGAGGTCGTAAGGAATCGAGAATGAGAGATGTCGTCGAGAGAGGGTGTATGAGCCAATATGGGGAAAAACCCCCTGCCTCAAAGACAAGTACCGGCCGAGGCATATCTCCCCACTTATCTTATCAATCAGATCTTAGCGCCAATCGGCCATCGGAACTTACCTGTCCCATCTCCGCCCCCTATTTTCTTTCTTTTCTTTTTTTCATCCCATCTCCACGGCCTCGCTCTCGCTTCACTCGACCCTCCCGCGACTAGGGATGGCTCACTTTACACTTTACGCACTTTACGTAAAGTACTCCCACTTTACAGTACGTAACGTACTCGAGCTCGTGTAATATAGCATAAAAGAGGGTATAATTCATATATAAGGAGAGTATAATTTAGGACACGTGGTCCCAATAATCATTCCCAAAAGCCTGAAACTCCAGGTCATCGTACTGATCAGGGAGGTCCTAAAGGCCCTGAAAATCACTAATACCCCCCTGAAAGCCCTGAAGCATACCCTGAATTATACCCTGAACCTCTGGAATAACCTCAATTATATCAACCCGCCTCCGCTTCCCTATAATTGATTTAGTCGATATAAACTCGTCCATTTCAAAGTCCTCTGGAAATATTATTCGAAGCATTGCAAAATCGTCTTCTAAATCAAGCCTCTGTATCTCAATAGCCTCAGGATTGAGTGGATCGTCTGCCTTAATACTCTCTATTTACTTTGCCCCCTTCCGTACCTTATTATTTATATTATTATAATTAGTATATAAAGATCGAGAGTTAATATAGATAAAGATAAGCTTATTAAGCTTAGAGAGGGAAAGACAATTTCGTAACTTCGTATAAAGGATATTTATAACTGAAAACGCTCGTTTAGAGGCTACTGAATTCGTAATAGTATTAATAATTCGGAGATCTAGCTATACGAGAACTATACTTCTAGATACCTATTTAATATTAGTAAAAATCGAAAATATTAATATAAACTTATAGCGAGATTCCAAAAGAGTTTAGGGTTATTTGAATACGCCTAATAAGCCTTTATTAAATAGAAACCCAGTTCTTGGGATATATATTCAAAGAAAGCGATTAAGACCTCTATTCTACTATAAGAGGATATATAATTTATAACCCGCTCTTGGTTAGTTTCGCTAAATTAGCTCTATTAGTACTAGTTACTTGGATTAAGGATATATACCAAAAGATAAATGTCCTGAACCTGCCTTTTAAGTCTAAACTCAAAGCTATACTTCCCAATTCGCTCCAAATATACCCTTATATCCTCTATAAAAGCGAACTTTATAGGATTACTAAATTATAGAAGATATATATATAAATTAATCTATTATTAGTATATATAATAGAGGTTTATATAAGTTAATTCTAATACCTTTTACTAATTATATATAGGCTCTAGTAGCCTTTTCATCTCTCGCAATTTATACCAGAAGTCCTTACTTATAACAAGCTATAGGAATTTCGAAGGTATATTAATTCGAGAGTCTTTTATATATACTTTTAGGTAAGGTTCATTTTTTAAGATAGATTTAATAGAATAGTACTAGAAAGTAATATTAGAGGTAAAAATTACTTGAATTAGGAAGCTTACTTAAGTATCCTATTATATCTTTACTACTAGAAATAAAGCAATCTCTTTACTAATACTATTAAGCTACTTTTAATATAAGATACCAAGTTATAAGGTCTTCTTCTTACTAAACTAAATAATAATTAATTAAAAATCAAGCCAGAAGTCATAAATTTCTAATATAATCTTGACTTCCTTAATTACTCTAGAATTAATTATATCTCTAATAATAAGCTATTAGCTATAAGAATTATATCTAATATTAAATATATAAGCTAGCTCTAAAAGTTTAGTAAATTGCTTCCAAGCCTTTTATATTATAGGATATATATCTAAACAAAAAGCAGATAATTAATTAAGATTTCTATATATAAATTCAAGTACTTTCTCCTTATAATCCAAGATAGTATTTTCGGCCGAAGTGCTCTTATTCTCTAAGCTCTCGTTACTCTAATTATATAATATACCTTTGTAAATAACGGAAACATTCTCAATTTAATACCCTTTAATATTCGTAGATTCGTTACAAACCATACTAAGAAATAGGAAGGAATTAAAGATATTTAAGATATTATCTTTGACTTTAATATAGTATTAATCGAGAATTATATTCGCAATTATATATTAATTAGGTATTTTAAAGCCTATTATAGTAAAAAAAGCTCTCTATTCAGATATATCGAATATTAAAAAGGCTATATAAGACGTAAATATAGCTATTCCAAAGAGTTTATTTAGTATATTCTATTTACCCCCGCCTAATTAAGAGGAAAATGCGAGCTTTATTTAAACTAGCCCCCTTAGTATTAATGGCCCAGATTCTCTAATTCTATTTGCTTATTCCGTTTCGATCAAAAAAGCCTGGTATGAATCGTAGTTCTTAAGGTACTCGCCCATTACAGTAGTATTCTACATATACTTAAATGGCTTCTTCTTATTTTTGCAAAATCGATAGTAGGCATAATTAGTGGCTATTCCATTTTGACTAGCTAGAATTTTATTAAAGGCTCCATGGATCTCTGTCTTCTTTCGGCTGTTTTGATAATTATTGGGAGGCATATTGGCTCGTTGAATGGCGATTGATTCCCTGGTAGTAAGAGTATTAATAATAGAGAGTTTCTTAGCTGCAAAGATTCAAACTTACTGCCGGGGCATACCGCTTCCAAATTAGATATAGCGTGTTCTATATCGGGCTAGTATATCACATAACTGTAATATAACGTATAAAGCTTATAGGGGCTGTAATTACGTAAATTATATATCCAATTCACGCTGTAATGTAAAGTGCCATCCCTACCCGCGACCTTCCCGCCCGGGCCTGCGACCACTCAACACCTCCTTGTGGTACAGGCTGTCAACCTATGCTCTCTGGAGCGTAGGGCCAAGATTGAGTCACGAGCAAACGCAGGGAGATTTTCCTTTACCACCCAATCAGGTTTCACGCAAGCCAGCGGTATAGCGCCTCTGCGGGAGCTCACTTCTACTCGACGAGACTCACGATCAGGATATCGACTCCGATTCTTCCTCTCTCGCTCGATCTACTATATACTTGGGGGAGATATATCTACAGGAACGGCGAGGGAAATCGAGGTGGATACCGTGGCCTTTCCGACTCTCTCAACTCACTCTCGGACTAGCTATACGGTAGAGGAATTCTCCTGCAGAGGCAGGCCCGAGGACTCGGTATTTCCACGGATATAATAGGGGGTATAGGGTATTGAGAGGACAAGGGGAGGGATCGGGCTTGGATAGATGGATTGTAAGAGGACTTGGGTAGGAGGAGAAATATTCTGGTGGCCACCCCAACCGGCCGTGGGAGGTTTTACACAGTTACAAGGCAGTTTGGTTATATACAGAGAATAGCTATAGGCCCCTATCTATATCTGGCTATAGTAAGAAATGCTTTCTAAGGCAAGGGCACTGCAATATTGCGGGATTAGGGACCCGGGGCTATTTAGGAGGGAGTCTTTTTACCCCTTGTGGTTTTTGGCTCTATTCTAGATAGGACTTTGAGTTCTGAGGAACGCTCCTTAGCTTAGTACGTCCTCATACCCTTCGGGAGGTCTCTCGGACGTAAATAACTATCAAATCAAATCAAATCAAAGACCTTCCCGCCCGTTTATTATTTTTTGTGGCTTTTACTACTGTCGAATTCTAAAATGAAGTGTTTATGATTTGATCATCTGATATCGCCCCTTACGGTGAGGTCCCGAATGGACGCAGTGGTCATCACCATCTGCCTCCTGATTTCACGATTTGGATTCTGTTCACACATACCTAGCATCAAATGCCAGCGCAATCTTCGCAGTCAAAATATTATCTACGGGACAGGCTACCCTTGCATTAATGACATGGAGGAAACTGTTTCTCAACTTCCTCGACACGTGGACTTGCTGACGAACCATTAAACTCCCTGCCACTCGATCCTCCTGCCCTTAAGCCGAGCTGTTCATTCTCAATACTCACAAAACTGTTGTGTCAAATGTTTGCAATTTTTCAACAGCTCTTCAATCCCTGAAAGAAGGCTCTTTGATTGAGAATTGCCCCTCATCTGCATGCGGTCACTTTCTTTGTCTCCTTGTTTGAGCACTCCGTCCCGTCCCCGCTTTCGAAGGACATCACAATGACACAAGATCGAAATGGCTTCCTTTGTTATTTCCTTGCTCCATTTCGACCCAAAATCATTCCTCATTTCCTGTCAAGCTATCGCAATTCTCAATGGCTTCTCACGTCAATCACGATACATCTCTCCTGCTATACACCCAAGAAGAATTAATCAGATTGCGCGAACAACTGAAATTGCTAGGAGAGCACTTGAAACACACAACAGCAGTCACTTCTCAACAAGAGGCTGTGGTCAGCAGAATCCGGGCACAGCTTCAAGGATTTGATCCGAGCAAAGCAGACTTTGCAGAGAACCAAAACTGGTACAAACAGCAGGAGACTCTCGCCATGGAAAAGCACAAGCTAGATGAGATCGCGGAGCAGCGAGATCATTACGTCGATCAAATCCGAGCGATCGAGGAAAAGTTCAGCACGTTAGCAGGCCAGAGTAGGGGACAGCAGGAAAACCCGACTCCAGCATCCGCGCCAGCCAACGAAGGCCCCGTCGGGGACCTCTACGATGCGCAAGAAACGCCTACCAACGATGCACCGACCAGTGAAGACATCCTCCTGTTTCAGTTGACCCAGACACAACAGGAATTGAACGCCATGACCGAAGAATCCAACAATCTGCGGAACAAGAACATGTCTTCTGCCAAACGCTCTGCGATCCTAAGCCGCGAGAAACAGCTCATTGAAAAAGAAAACTTCGTCCTTCGAAAGCATCGCAACGTCCTACAACACCGGCTTGATGCGCTCGAGGATCAAGGAATCGATATCGGGAAGCCGAGAAATGATCTCGAAGCAGAAGCGCGAGCTGCACGAAGACAGCAACGTGAGAAGAACCGCCATGACGGACTAGCTGGAGCCAAGATTTTCCCTGCACTAGAGACGGTTATGGAAGCTTTCCAAAGTGTGATGCTTGAGACTGAGCTACTGAATTCTACGGATGAGATCGAGGCCCAGGAACCTGAAACTTTGCTGTCCCCGAAAGAACGCCATGATATCGACATGCTTTTCAACGAGGGGTCTGATGAGTCCGCTCGATGGTCCACCTTACAGGAATCGAGTGCAAACATGAACGGGGTTGGTGCCAAGCAGGAGATCCATGCTCCTATGCCCCCGCAATTTGTCTCCAGAGGTTGTAGATGCGAAGATATGGTCTATGGGGACGAGAACAGCGAGGATCTTATCGACTGGACGCCTGACGATCAATATGAGTTCATTTCGTACCCTCCTGCCTCTGTTCAAGTAATCTACGCTTCAGGTATCCCAACTCAAGCCAATGACATCAGTGCCCCCTTGTCGACGCAATACCCGCCCACCCTTTCGAATCCCCAAGGTCACGAAGCAAACTTCACCGCCGCCCAAGATCTCGCCAGGCAACACCACGACTCGGTTCTCAACCAACCCTGGGACAACATCGCACGGCCACTCTCACCTCGCACATCACCTCCTATTCCCCAGGATGACGATCAAGAGTGTCATAATCGCATCGAAAAGCTCAACCAATTTCAAAGTTGGGCAGGGGCAGAATTCGGCTTGACTCTCATCGACCTCGATCAATTCCGGGAATTCAATCAGACCACCCAGCAACGAGACGCAGCCCTCTATTCACTCGAGCAATCACGCGGCGAGCTCGAACAATTCCGCCGTGACCTCGCCACCCGAACCGGGGAGCGAAATGGCGCACGTCAACGCATTGCAATTCTCGAAGATGAAATTAAGCAGAGAGAGATAAACGAGGTGCAGCTTAGAGAAGAACTTCGTCTCGAACGCGAAGAAGATCCACTCGCCGATAAGCTGTTTGTTGAGCTTGCTGAGCTGCGGAAGCAGTTTGAAGAGGCTGAGGAGCAAAATGCGAATGCGCAAGAAAATATCGTGTGGTTAGAGAAGAAGGTGGTTGACGGCGCGTTTAAGAGAGAAGAAGATCTTGAGAAGTTCAAGGCGCTGGAAGATGGTGCCGAGAAAGGGAGTGCTATTGTAGCGGAGTATGAAAGTCGGATTCAGGCTGGGAACGATCAATTGGATTCCCTGACCTCGACTCTCTATGCCAGAGACGCCGAAATCGAAAGTCTCAATGCCCAGCTTGCTGCGCTTCATGCAAGTCAAGCTGAAATCGAACAACTTACGATGGAACTCGCTGCAACGAAAGAGGAATTAGAGAAAGCGAAATCAGCTGCAGCGAACACAGACGTGACCATTACTCTCAATGCCGAGATCCATCGCCTCACCTCGGAACTACAGGCCTGGAAACAAGAACTTGATAATACCCGCTCACAAACTCAGGGTTGTCAATCTTCTCTCCAGAAAGCAACAACCGCGCTCGCCACCTCTCAGGATGAAGTCAAGAAACTGTCCGCTGAGCTCAAGCAAGTAAAGGAGGAAAGAGACAGAGCTCAAAACGAAGCCCGCAACGCCGTAGCAGCGGCAGAAAAAGCCCGCGACGAAGGAGTCGAGAGTCGGCGAGCTCTTGGGGCGGCAAATGATATGGGACATCGTCTACGCCGTATCTCCTCCGAGAATATCCGCGAACTGGTGCATGCGAGAGAGGAGATAGACAGTGCGGTACATGATGTGTCGAGGTTTACTCGCGATTTATCATTCGCAAGAGATGAAGCCGTGAACTTGAAGGGGAAGATCGAGGAGTTTGAGAGGGAGAGGGAGGTGCTGACGGGACGGTTCTTAGATGCTGAGAGGAGGGCGGTGGAATATGGACGCCAGGTTCTAGAGCTTGAAGGGAGAATCGAAGAATTGGGGAAGTTGGTTCAGGATCTCTCTGGGGAGGCCGATGACAAGGCTGATGGAGATGATACGAAGATGAATGATGCGAAAACGAAGATGGAAGAGGTCCTTGATGAGATTCTGGGGGCCCATGACTCTACCATGCAGAGAGTCCCAGTCGCAGATCCAGCATCTCCCGCTTCGCTCTACTTGATAGGCGAGGAACTAGATGCCGTTGCGCGACCCGTTGATCGTTCAACACCGGCACCAAAAGGCCCGAAGTCTAGGGGACCTAGAGGTCCTCGCGCTAAACCATTAGGGGCGCCGAGGCGGAAAGGAGAGAGGGTGACGAGGAATCCGGCGCCGGTGTATGTTGATCCGCCGTCTCCGAGAACTTCCAGGCCCCCCAAAAGGACCCCGCCCCGAGGGAGAAGAGCTGGGGAAGATGGTGATTATGAGGAAGGTCCTCGACGGAAGAAGTAGTGGGTGGGCTTCTGGATGATGGGTAGATGGGAGTCTATTGTTATGTTGGTTTAGTTTTGATATTACCCTTGAATGCTATCTATTTTGTTCTACTTTCTATGCTACCAAATCTCGTGCATAATGCCTGTGAATGCAGTGAAGACGAAAAATCTTTGCAGTGCTCTTTGCAGCGCGCGTTTGGTCAATGCTGTCATGCCTGGCGGGCTCTTTAATAACGCTAAACCGCTAAACCCACTGATACCCCTACTCTTTAATTCACAACTTTTAACTGCGCGTAGCATTCATACCCGGCCCATTCACGCTCGAAATTCCCCTTTTCTGGAACGTAGCAGGAACCAACGGCTGTACCTCTGCCATCCAAACAATATCATACAGCCCAGGGCTTCCATCCGCCGCCGTACTCCCCGGCTCCAGACTCCCCCACAGCCCCGAATCCGAGCAACAGGGTTATTCGCCTGCAGGCCACGCGTCCAGCCAATATGCTCCTCGTTCGCCGCCATATACTTCACCAAATCCGTCACATAGCCCAAACACTGCGCTCCATTGGCTGCGTCAAATCCAGTAATCATGGCTTTGAAACCGTATTGCTTGAGCCATGCTGTTAAAGGAGTGAGATTTGTGGGATGAGAGGAGGTGAAGTTCGTGTGCCCGCCGGAGAAGTCGGAGTCGAGATACTCATGGATGTCGATCGCGGTGTTGTTGAAACTTCGTTCATGATTCCAAATAGCACTTTCTCATTTAACTTGAATCGTTTAGCAATTTCGCCCCAGAACGCGGCAAATTGGGTTGTCGTGGCTGCTATTCCAACTGTTGCATCGCCAATAATGCTGCCCGTCGTTGGTTGCCTGGAGGGATTATTGTATCTCATGTAGTTATGAGGATCCAAATTGGCGTAAGCCCCTTTCGTAACTGTGATGTAGTTTATGGCATCTTAATATTGAGAGAGATACCAGGAGATCTTAGGCTCGGGTTCAACGGGTACGAAGAGATCTCACTGTTTCGCAAAATTGTGATCCAAGTCCATAACACAAGGGTCACATTCGCCTCCGCTCTAGTAAGAAAGCAACCCTGAACAGATTGACCTAAATGAGTTTAGACTGCAGTTCGCAGTGAGATTTAATTAATGCTTTTTGCTTACCTTATTCTTCTGGTCCTCGTGAATGTCAATGGCAGCCTCGTTTAGGAACTGATACTCCACTCCGAATCGCCCTGGCAGTCCAGAGTCAACAGCCGATGTTGAGCCTTGTTCATTCTAGCAACTATCTTCCAGTGATATCAGCAATACATACTCCACACGCTGAACTCCCCTCCACTTTCAACGACTCCTGCATAATAGATTGTTGCGGACACGTTGCCCGCAAGAAGTGTCGCAGTTGTTAGAAATCTCCTGAATCTCGTGAATATTATTCGAGACTCGTGCTACGGTACCAAACGGATATGAGGAAGGAAAGGAGTAATCGAGGAAGAACCAAGATATATGTATATAAGGTAGGTGTATATTATCCAAACACATGTAGATTATTGCGGGTCTACCACGGTCCTCAATAAGGAAGGAAGTTTTTGCTAATTTCATTCGGAACACGGCTCAAGGCATCAAACATCCTTGACTTTTCCCTAGATGTCATATTTGGCTGGACCTAATCGCGACAGGCTCGCATCGTGCGGAGCTTTCACTCCGCATCAGCCTACAATAGATACTTGCTAATCTATCTTTAAATTTTGAAACGAAGTATATTTGCGACAGGTCAAATATAATTTCTGGGATGCTTCTCCTTAGAGATAGGCAATGGGAAGCCCAACCTATTGACTTTGATCTGCAGCGCAATAAATGCGAGAAGTACCGCGCCTGGCCAATGGAACCGCTGTGATACCACTGCCCTTTCTCTATTGGTGATCAGCATACCAGACCGTTTTGTGATCAGGATTGTACGGATATCACGGCATAAAGTATCGGGAATGCAGGGAATTTTGACCCTTGGTGTTCTACAGGGAACTAATTTAGGGCAAGAATTCGCTATAAGCCCCTATAACTCTAGGCAGTGCTCTCTAAATTAATGTAAAGAGGCGCTATAAGATATTCGCAGGGAATAAATAGATCTTCTAGGGTTATAGCGCTGTTAGGAAAGCAATTACAGCTTAGATATTAGACGAGCAACTATTATAGACCTCCTTAGGCATGCCTCCTGTATTAGTACAGGGGAGAAGCCCTAAAAAGGTGTGGCTGCCCTTGTTGAAGGCGCATAGGCTACTTTTAGGGAAAGGGCCTGGAAATACAGGGCCTTATAGCGAGTTTGCCACCTTGAGCTATACGCTAGAGCGTCTAAAAGTGTCCCAATGCCCTGTATTCCCAATACTTTATGCTGCGATCTCCATAAAGAGAACCCCGACCAGTCGGCTTGAAGGGTGAAAGATTAAGCGAGACTCGCTTACTTGGCCCCCTTTTTTCTCACTTTTGACTTACGTCCTTGCGGAAGCTTCCAGCCGATATCTGAAAAATGTGCGAAAATTGCCCGACGAAAAGTTGAAGTGCTCGAAAGTTTTCATGCCGTGCCATCTATTGATTTAGATTTGGGAGCATAATACGCTTCGAGCTAGGCTTGAATGATGGCCCTCATCGCTTTCTAGGAGGAATGAAGATGGACCGGGAGATTGTCTGTCTCAACTGCAACATTTCTTTTGAAGGACTTATATCGATCTACCGAAGATAACAGCTGGGATCTTTGATCGGGTCGGAAATCTCAACTTTTTCCAAAAGTCACAAAATATGCTTTGATTGGCTTGGGCCATCCTCTATTTTCCCACCTTTGATACGCAGTCCTTGTAGGGAAAAATTTGGATCCTTATCAAAAACTAGCTTCCAATCTGTAAAGCTCATTTCTTTCGAACAAGGTCCTTCCCTCAAAACTGACTCCACATCCACACAGCCCCTTTTCGGTAGACGAGCAATGATGGAAGAAATGAAGCAGGACCCGGAAGAAAACCAGCAGGTGGTGGGACTAGGCGAAACCTGGCTGGAGAGTCCGAGTGTGGAGGTTGCCTCTTATTACGAGGAGAGCCTAGCGCTTGATCGGACAATTCTCTGGAAACGAGACCTTGTTCTTATTCTCATTATGGGAATTATGTATAACGGTGCTATTTCTCAACACTACGAAAATCGCCAATGCTAAGATCGAGGGCTTGGTGGCTGGTATAAATATGCCGAGTAACGGATATAACGTCTGTTTGTCGGTCTTCTATATACTCTTCGTCCTTGCCGAAATCCCCTTCAATTTTTTGCAGGAGGAAAACAAGTTCAAACCTGCATATCTCCTTGGCGCTCAGATGTTTTGTTTTGGTATGCCAAGATCCGAATGGTCCATCATAATGCACGAGCTTCGACTGACTGCTTCACAAGAGTCCTTGGTCTCTACCAAGATTTCGTGAACTCATAGGGTGGCCTCATTGCTCTCCGATTCCTACTCGGCCCTTTCGGGTCCTCCCTTCCAGCAGCTGGCACATTGTCTATTGCCACGTATCAAACTAAAAAGGAAGTGGGACTCCGTTTTTCGTTCGTCTTTAACTTTGCGCTCGCTCTCCCACCCTTCCTTGGTTTACTCACATATGCAATTGAAAACCTCGACAGCAACCTAAGCCTATTGGTTGGCGTTGGACCTTCCTCGTGGAGGGCGTTATGAATGTTGCCATGTCATTCTTCTTCGTCTTGATCTTCTATCCCAAATTACCCCACGAGGCAAAATCCTAGTTTTTGAAGCCTCACAAACGCGAGCGTCTCCTTTGTAACTTGGAACAATCCCGCGGGAAAGAGTCCAAAAGCTCTCCTATCGACAACGTAATCTTACCTAGCTGGAAAATCCTTCTCGATTGGCACATCCATCTCTTAGAGTCTTTACCACGTGTTGTGACATGACGGCTTCTTCGGTAGTTGGATTTGTCACCACCATTTTTAAAGAACTCGGATAGACAGAGGCAAAAGCTCAGTTGATGGCGATGCCGATGTGGGGTGTGGGATCATGTCCCCGTTCCCGATTTGTGTAATAGCTTCTAAGGCCAACTTCGGAACACATTTTCATACTTGTTGCTATCTGTATACAACTCGTTGGTTGCGGCATCTTGAAAGCCGTTCCTCCTTCAGCTGGCATCCGATACATGGCACGGCTAGCTTCAATTTTCGAGGCAACAAGTATCTCGCTGTCGGTGTGGCCTGGGTGGTGCCAACTTCATTTCTGCTAACACCTTTATAACTGATTAAGCTCCCGACTATCCGACTGCTGTTATCGCCGCCACCACAGTCAGCTGCTTGGAGTTATTCCTGGTTCTTTTCGGCTACTTTTTATAAGCTACCAAATAAGCAGCGGGATGAGAGAAGGATCGGAATGACCAAGGCTGAGATAGTAGCTGGTGACGAAATCCACTTCAAATTTGTTTTGTAATTGATATTTCGAAAGATAAGACTTGGTGTAGAAGCTATCTCCAGAGAAGCACCGGTTTAATGACTGATCCACTCTTCATATCAGCAATGGCTTCGTTAATATTCTCCGCCCTATACGTCTTCTGGAGGCGATCTATTGGCAACCTGCCTTGCTTATATAGGCTCGCCAGATGCGGAATAAACTATTGAAAATGAGTAGTTTGCCCGAGATTAAGTCATGGATGTCAACTTACTGTTTTCGAATTGGCATTCCCTTGATGGGATGCGCAGTAGGTCTTAGCACCCGTAATGAAAGGAAGGATCGGGACCGATGCTTTGCTATCATTGCCAGGGCTGCCAATAGTGACTGCAATTCCACCAGCTCCGATGGACTCGATCATTGTGTTGACCACCGACAAAACTCCAGAACAGTCCACCGCAGCGTCCAAGTTTTCTCCGCCAGTTATTTCCAATAATTTTGCCTTGACATTCTCTTTTTCAGGGTTGATAGTATGGGTAGCTCCTAACCCTCTTGCCAATTTTAACCGGTTCTCGTTCACATCGACTGCAACTATCTGGCTCAACACCGTTGGGTTATTCTGAGCGACGATGCGAGCGGCCATGACCGTAGCACAGCCAACGGCACCTAGCCCAAAGACGCCGAGACTTCTAACATCACTCTCGGCCGGTTTCACGACGTTGAAAATTGAACCAGCTCCAGTCTGAATCCCGCAACCTAGGGAACAAACTACCGCTAAGTCGAGAGATTTGTCCACTTTGATACAAGAACTTATATGTGCAACGGTGGGGTTACAAAACGAGGACTGTCCGAAGAAAGAGCTCGAGACCGGTTTTCCCTTCCAGCTAATGGTTTTCGAGCCGTCTTCACGTTGACCACCGAAATTTCTCTCCATGATCTCGAGACATCGGAAGTTGTTTTGTTTCTGGCATTGTCGACATTTGCCACAGGAATTGTAGGAAAGCACGACATGGTCACCTTCTGCCAGGTCGGTGACCGCTGAGCCTATTTTTTTCACAACACCGGCGCCTGCGGAACTTGGGTTCAGCTGATGCCGCACTTGATTTCGAAGACCACACACCTTCATGACCCAGGACAACCGGAAAGTCCAGAGGAATCTTGCCGTGCTGTACCGCTGGATCAGTAGCACAGATACTTGTGGCTTTCAATTCCACGAGGACCTCGTGCGGCTGCACGGAATCAAGCTCAACTTCTACAAGTTGAAATGGCGCGTGCAACTCTGGCACTACGATAGCTTTTGCTGCAACCATTGTGGGCGGAAGGTTGGAAACGTCTTAGGAATGACAAGGAATATATGTTTCCAAAGGTCGACGATTGTTTTCGTGTCATGATGAATACCCTTCGGGGTTACTTATCCAGACGTCACAAGGTGGGGAGGGGGAGGTGGGGCTGAAACCGGGAAGGAGATGCGGGAAGGCACCACCCGACAACCCCGCCCATACCTCCGCTTAGTCGTTATCCGTTCCGCTGCCGCCAGGAAGGACTTTCGTACGCGAATTTTCTCCTTGCTTTAATCTGAAATAATTTGCCACGAAAAATGATAAAACTTAATTCCTTTTTAGGATATCTAAATTACCCATTTTAAGATAATTATATAAATTTTTCTTTAATTCGTTTAAATTTTTCAACTAGGTAAAATAGGTTCGCAACGTCAGATTTTTTGATATTTCTTAACTTTTAGCGAGTCGTTCCTGGCGGTAGCGGAACGGATACACACCCGCCAAATTTGTTAGCGAATCGAGCCTGACAATCAAACCCCCGATTATTTCCTTCAACGGCCAACACACTTAGCTTCCTTTAAAAAATAACAATCAAATGATACACAGTCTATAGTATTACCCCTCTATAGAACTGTAAATCCTTAATTATCATTGTGGTGGAAGTTATTATAGAAAACGTTGATTTTCGACCCGACACTCGAGGCATTCCTCACTGTAGTTGGGCCGGCTCGCTGAGCGAAGCGAGGTGGCCGAAACAGAGCGAAGAACAGCCGACGAGTAAGGTAACCAGAGTACGGAAGGCCGTAAGGATCAATTGTCCAAGCGAACTTTTCCACTTACTTACGACTCGGCACGTGATCACCCCATCAAAAATCGCAAACACCCACACACCACGCCCACATACTTATATAAGAACTTCTAAAAATAACCTGTATAAAACTTAATAAGAATTTAATAGAGGATTAAATAAATTAATAGGAATTTAAATAATTACTTAATTTCAAAATTTCAAAAGCTAAGTGTAATGTGCGAATGTGCAATGTGCAACGCGCAAATGCGAAATGTCATGAAAAATCGGGGTTTTGGCAGTACAGGGGTTGGAGGCCTCGGTAGAGTTTCGTACGCGTAACCGAGATCCCTAGTCAATGCACACCCCAAGCGAATGCACACCCCAAATTTTCAGCCGACCTCGAGCTTAATTAATTAATTATTAAATAACCACGTAATCAATCGGCCTAAAATTAAAAATATAAAGCAATTGAACTAGGCGCATTAAGTTGGCTAATCAGGATTTTTCATTTTCTAAGGCGTTGTGGTAGAACAATCTCCCTTCCCGATCGGGAGGTCTGTACCACCCTCACAGCTTCAGAATCGTCCTCCTCCATTATAACCGCTTCCTGAGCCCCTGAATTCGATAAAATCGAAGACCCTACCCTCAATATTACTATACGAGAGGGTTTGGCTTTTTTAGCAGCATTTCTAGCTATAGTAGCCCCTTTCTAGCTACTGCCCTTTCCAAAACCTCCAATTTATGCTTCTCCTTCTTCACTTAATCAGTAATCGCTTTTCCTCCGCCTTCCTTAGCCTCTCCAACTCTTTCTCCTGCTTTTTCAAGGCATTATCTATAGCCTTAGTAATCTTTGTATCCTCCTTTGCCTTTTGCTTGTCCAATTTATCTTGTTCTGCCTTTGCAATCCTTGCATCCTCACGTGCTACTATAGCTAGTACTTCAGCTATTCCAAAGAACTAGGCCTTTCCTAATGGCTCTCCTATCAAATTGAGCTTTTTCCTATAACGTCTCTTCTTCTTTTCAAGCTATAAAGCTTCCTTTAAACTCTCTATACGGTACTCTGTAATAGAAGCCTTTATAGTATTCGTCTCGTTCGCTTTAGTAAGCTTGCAAAACGTAATCTTAGATGGATTTTTTATATATATTTTTGAGAATTACCGTATATATTTTGTAGTATAAGGAGTTGAAATTATATTAGAAGAAGCTTTAGGAGAAGTTTGCGGTCTTAGTAGAGCAATAGCTAATAAGATAATTAATAGTTAGTAGGGCCATATACCTGTCTTCTTCCAAGTAGATAAAATATTTGATTCAGATATACTTTTATCCCAAACAGGCTTGAAAATAGACCAAAATATCCTTTTTATTAAGCAAGTAATACCCTTACTAGTATTTAAAACCCTATTAATCTCGGTAGAATAGTAAGTAGAAAGTAGTAAAAAATAGCCTATATCCAAAGGTTAAAGACAGTATATTGAATACAGGAGTAAAATAAGAAGCAGAATTTTAAGCTAATTATATATCCGAATAAACTCTATATTAACATAGCTAGAGTGCCTATCCATAATTAAAAGCCTTCTTCTATGCCCTGCTTTTATATAGGTAGCAGGATTAAAAACTTAGATAAGATATATTAGGCCCAGGGCATTAGATAACTATCCATTTATACTAGACGTAAACCAAGCATATTCCCTCTCTTTTAAATCGTCTAACCAAGTATCCTGAAAGTTCCCAGAAGTTCCTTTATAAATAAGAGCCAGTAGAATCTTTGTACTATCCGTATAAATGGAAGTAAATAAGCTAATAAACTCTCGTAAGCCATCCTACTTTGCTTTAGTAATTTTCCTACTATTATATGCTTCTTTCGTTATTATATACTTTATTATATATATAATTCTAATTAAAAAACCCTTCTCGTCCTAATTATATATATTTTCTGCCGTAATATTATAATCTTTAATTGCTTTAATTAACTAAGTAGGGGGGAGGAATATTAGCCATTTTATTTACAAAGTAAGTAAGATATAGGCAAAATACTAAAATTAAATACTACTAAATCAAAGAAAAACTAGATATAGGGCCCATATTCCGATTTCATTCGCAAATTATTAATATTGCATAAATAAAGGCTCTTTAGGCGAGATGAGTACCGGTAGATAAAACTAGCTGTCTAATTCTTGCTTATATCGCGGCCAATAATCTCCTCTGCGAGATTTCTGATAATCTGCGAGGTAGGAGGGAGTCTACGGACTGTAAGCTTATTAATTTGACTAATTAAAGCCTCCTCTTGCATATTGGTAAGGAGTTTGTAGTAGAGGGAGGTTACTTCTTGTCTAGAGGCATATATACCTTTATGCCTTTGCATGAGGGTTATACGCTCAATATTAAAATCCCTGGCCACTTGACTATAATTAGGGATCAATTACGTATCTAGCGCATTAATCGCTTTCTCAATATCTTGTTTGCTGACCATTTTATCGAATTTTGAAGATGGAGGGGTAATATTTTGTGAGGTGTGCATTCGCTTGGGGTGTGCATTGACTAGGGATCTCGGTTACAGTGGAGCCAAAATGACGAAGGTATGACTGTATCGCAAACACAGAAGGCTCACTGCAACCTACGACGTTAGCTATTTCAGCAGGAGGACATATTGTGGCCGTCAAGAAACTCCTCCGCCATAGCAATTATGAGTCCAACAAAGGTTGGCATCAACGGTTTCGGCCGTATCGGCCGTATCGTCTGCAGAAATGCCATCGAGAATAATGAAATCGATGTCGTCGCTGTCAACGACCCCTTCATCGAACCCCACTACGCCGTGCGCCCCCCACTCTAGTTATCGGATCGTGGATACAGCTGTGTATTATATATATATGTATATGCATACATTATTTATGGACGCTGACATCTCTCTCCCCCCCGCAGGCATACATGCTGAAGTACGATTCCACCCACGGCCAGTTCAAGGGCGACATCAAAGCCACAGAGTCCGGCTTGGAGGTCAATGGCAGGGCCATCAGGTTCTACGCCGAGCGCGACCCCGCCAACATCCCATGGCGTGACACAGGCGCCACCTACATTGTCGAATCCACCGGTATCTTCACTACCACCGAGAAGTCCAAGGCACACTTGAGAGGCGGGGCCAAGAAGGTCATCATCTCCGCTGCCTCTGCTGACGCCCCTATGTATGTGCTGGGTGTCAATGAGGATACCTACAAGTCTGATCTTGAGGTCGTCTCTAACGCTTCCTGCACTACCAACTGCCTGGCTGTCCTCGCCAAGGTCATCCACGATGAGTTCACTATCGTTGAGGGCCTCATGACTACTATCCACGCCTACACCGCTACACAGAAGACTGTCGACGGCCCATCTGGAAAAGACTGGCGCGGAGGTCGTGCCGCGGCCACTAACATTATCCCCTCTAGCACTGGCGCAGCTAAAGCTGTCGGAAAGGTCATCCCAGCGCTTAACGGCAAGGTAACCGGCATGTCTATGCGTGTGCCTACCTCTGATGTCTCTGTTGTTGACCTAACCTGCCGCATCGAAAGGGGCGCTTCCTATGACCAGATTAAGGCAGCTATTAAGAAGGCTGCGGATGGTGACCTTAAGGGTACGCTGCTATACTGTATTTTCTATCTGAGCTCACTGACTTACACGTACAGGCATACTCGCCTACACTGAGGACGATGTCGTCTCCTCCGATTTGAAAGGTAACAATCACTCTGCCATCTTTGATGCCAAGGCCGGTATCTCCCTCAATGACAACTTTGTCAAGTTAGTCGCGTGGTACGACAACGAGTGGGGCTACTCCCGCCGTGTCGTCGACCTTGTCAACTACATTTCCAAGGTTGATACCGGTTCCAAGTAGGACATTTCTTTCTTGGGTCCTGCAAGAAGTCTCTGATTTGCATTCTCTTTGTTGCAGCAACGTACTGAAAGGAAGGCCTTGATGGGCGAGGAATTAGACTATACAGTGTGCGAGGATATGATTCGGTTTGGCTAGCCTGTTCTGTAGCTTATAAATAAATGGCATGCTCTGAAGAATTCTCTTTCTGCATCGTGCCTGGACAATTGCCCTCTTACTGATAACTCGGCCGATCAAAACGTGGAGAAGCTGGGAGAGGGTACGTAGATAGCGGCATAAAGTATCGGGAATACAGGGCATTATTTTATGAAGGCCACTAAATGCCCTATAAGGTCTTACTTTAATCTCCCTGTAGCTAGTCCCAGTCCCCTGTAAGCCCCTATAAGCTTACTAAAAGTGCCCTGAAGGCTTAATATGGGCTTATACAGCTTGACAGGTACTGAACGCCCCCAAACGCCCATAAATATAGGCGAGTCCACTAATTAATAGCAAGTAAAGGGGGGGTAATTAGCCCTAATATACACCTCTTTATATATACTTGGTTCTGAATTCTAATTCTAATTTATTAAATATACTTCATTACTTTTCACTTTTAGTTTGATTACTATTATAGCTACTTTTGGAGGTCTATTTGACTTCCCTGACTTATTAGATGGCCAATCAGAGCTCTCCTCTCCTCCCAATTCGTTAGATGACGAATATACCGAAGATAAAAAGGATGTGTAGTATAATTTACCGTCAGATTCGGACGATTCAGATAATAATTCAGCTGAACCAGCCCTTCCATTACCCGCTTCGTCAACTGCTTTTGTACTTGCTACTCTTGGGCCCAAAGAGCACTCTACTGGTGCCAGAATCAAGGCTATTTATATGCTTGAGGACAAGAAGTCTTTAGGATAAATCAGAGAAGCTACAGGAGTACCCAAAATAGCTCTTTATCGACTTGCAGCTGTGGCTAGGGAGCGTAGATGGGTAGAGAACAAGAATATGCCTTTGGAGGTCTCCCATATACTCAATATACCAAGATCTGGTCGACCTGCAATCTCCTCTGAGGCAATCAAATATATTTTGAAAGTTGTTCTTCAAAATTCTACTACGAGAGGCTTTTCTTATATAATGATTGCAAAAGAAGTAAGAAAGCGGGATCATAAGATTATACCAAGAATAATTTGGAAGGTTCTTATATATACAGGCTACTCTTAATATAAATTAACGGTCAAACCTGGTTTAAATGAGCTAAATATGGCGGAGCGATTAGCTTGGTATTTGGAAAGAGAGTATTAGATACTTGAGGAATAGAAGAATATTATTTTTACGGACGAAACTGCGGTATAATTGGGAAGTACGAGAGGAAAGAGAAGAGTATGGAGATTACCTGGAGAAGCGTATAATAAGTATTATATAAAACGATATTAGAAAGGCTTTTCTGAATTTATATTCTGGGGATCGTTTTTATATAATAAGAAGGGGCCTTGCCATATATAGGAGAAGGAGACTTCTCAAGAGAAGAAAGAGAGAAAGGCTGATTTGGATATAAGGAATTCGTTAATTGAGAAGGCGAATAAACAGAAGTAGGAAAAGGAGTAAAGGAAGTGGCTAAGGGATTGGATAAAGGTATATAGATAGGCTCCTGGAGGGATATGAAAAACTTAAAAACACAACGAGGCTACTGGTGCATTTGTAGTAAAGAATGGTCGAGGCGGGATCAATTAGTATAGATATTAAAAGAAGATCCTTATTAAGAAGCTTTTGCCCTTTGTAAGGGAATACCAAAAGGATCGACCCAATACGATTATTCAGGAGGACAATATATCAGTATACAAATCTCATTACCAAGGAGCAGTTTATAGCTTATAGAAGATTATGAAAATGCTCTGGCCAGTAAACTTACCTGATCTCAATATAATTGAGAAGGCTTGGTTTTATATAAAAAAGGAAATAACAAAGCGGGGGCCAACGACTGATAGAAAGAAGCTCAAAGCAAGGTGGGAGAAGTACTGGCAAGACTTACCCCAAAGTAAGATTCAGGAGTAGATTGAGGCAATTCCTTATTACGTAAAAGAGATAATTCGTTTAGAAGGGGGTAATGAGTATAAAGAAGGGAGGAAAAAGGGGGAAGAGAAAATTACTATATATTAGAATCAAAGTTATCAAAAAACAATCAAAATCAGAGGCTTATCAAGCAATAGCGGGGTAAGCCACACTTTCAGGGGACCCTTACAGGGCTTACAGGGAACCAGGAATAGCTACAGGGAGATTAAAGTAAGACCTTACAGGGCATTTAGTGGCCTTCATAAAATAATGCCCTGTATTCCCGATACTTTATGCCGCGATCTCCGTACTTACGCCACGGTATGACCCTTGCTCTTCCTTTTATCAGATTTGTATACTATATACATCCTATTGATTGCCAGTCTGTTAACAAAAGAGTAGGTCCTCAAAGGCCGGGACGGCGAGACCGGTATGTTAAAATGCCTAAATAAGTGATCTCACTGCAACAACAAGTGATGAAATTCCATCCCTTATAGATCGCATAACAAGTTCCCCTCAGTCCTACCACCTTCGTTATGTCAATACCGCAAACATAAAGCCAGTAGCATGGTCTGTAATGTCCCTATAATGGCACACCAAAACGCTACATCTCCCCCTCAGAAGTACCAAATAACAGCATTTTTCAACCGCAGCTGGAACTTTGCTCGCCACTGGTACATCAAGTTTAAGTTCCCATCTCCCGTTAGCTTCCCACTCAGTGGTCCAGGGGCTCCCTCCCTCCTGGAGTCTTTGTCAAACCTCAGTCCCGCGGCTAGTCTTACAATATAAAGAGGTCTTAGGCCCTCCCAAATATATCCTTCAATCTCTTAAGGCAGATTCTTCTCGCCACATAGCGTGGCCTGGATTTTCCAAGGAGAATATGCCCTCGCGCCTCCCAAAAGTTCCTAGCTCTCCCTCTTACCACCTAACTACTAAGCTCATCCTCACGCCCAATGCCACAAACATTCTCCCCGCGCGTAGAAAATCGAATGCAATCAACCTACCAAGAAAGAACTCGTGAAGGAGCTTCTATGCTTTGTATCGATGCCGAATCCCACAAATCTAGTGGTCTGGTCGAACTTCGCAAAGAGTCACGAGCGTTTAGAATTGTTGCGGTACTTTCCAGAGTCACTTTGGAATACGCGACTTCAGGGGGGTAAGGAAGAGGGTATATCAACTTCATCAGCAGGCTTGGTTCAAAGGGGTATATCAATGTTGAGATCGATTCTTGTCACCCACCAATGCCCTCACGGTAAGATCAAGGACCTCAAGTAAATTTTTGATTCGATTTCTAATACCAACTTCCCTTTATACATAGTGGGAGAGGAACGGGTGTTTCAAAGCCATACTTGGAGATAATCGCGATTCAGTCTCATAAAGAAAAATTTTGCTCAGCAAGTCGTACAATTCTGCAAGCTCTGCTGTGGGAAAGTCTTCCGTCTCCAGTCCTGCGCAGGAGTGGGGGTTACATCGGAGTAAAGTCGAGTCATATCTCGGATCCGGTCGCTTAGCGGATACGGTTTTACCATGATTCCCTTAGCCGTCTTCTTCGGGGTACCATCAGCCTCAAAGTAGCACCCCCTCTCTGGCCGGAGCTGCCACATTGGCTTTGGAGGTTTCCCAAGCATGGCGACTATATCTTTGCGAACATCCTGCTTTCGATTGAACAGCGCCTTGAAGAGGGTGTATCCAGCGCATATTTCGAAAGTCACACATCCAGCAGCCCACGTATCGATTGAGGAGGAGAGAGTGGTATGAAACAAAACCTCCGTTGGGGAAATTTGAGGAAGATTGTCGTGTTCAATGGGCGGCTTGAAACTTGAGAAAGCGGACCCAAAGTCGATGAGGATAATCTTGGGCAAGGCCAGACATTCTTCGAGAGCAGCTAGATTGCATTGGTGCACTAGATACGTGGGTGTAGCCGTTCCAATGGGCTCAGTCTGGTCTATGAGGTCGACCTTTTCCCGGATAGGTGTGCCAATGCACTCATACAACTCTTCTTCTGACCAATGGTCAAAAATACCAACTTGCTGCAAAATATTTGAAGTGAAAATATCTATTACAATGTTAGATAATACAGCCAAACTATTTGAATCATCGCCGGTACCTCCATGAACAATTTCACTAGAATGAATGTACTCCAAGGCCAGGAAAAGCTGAGATGCAAGCTTGCGTGCGGGACCGAGAGCATTGTACTTCAAGGTAGGCGCACGAGATAACCGGGCTCCAGCAACTTGGGTAACACAACACTGATGTGTTCCATTGGGGCCTTTAATAAAAAATTCATCTTGCAACATCATGATGAATTGTCGTCCTGGATGAGTTTCACTGCCACGGCTCAAGTGCCGGAGAGCTTTGAGCTCATTCGAGCTAGAATGTGAGCGGCCACCTTCTTCGGCCGCGTAGATTTTCAGGGCAACGTAGCAAGCCTTGAAGTGGTCTCTCGCCAGCCAGACGGTTGAGAAGTGACCAAAGCCAAGTTTATGTAGAATTTGGTATCTTTCGTCTTTGAGCCTATCTCCAATATTGACTGGATGAAGACCGCCTAGGTGATACAGGTTTGCATCTTCCGTCATCATCGAGGAGAACTTAAACATCCTCGTTGGGGAAGACGAAGCCATAGCCGAATTTCTTATGGAGAAAGATTTGTTGGAAATTTGAACAGTGCAAAGTTGCTTGTGCAAATTTTAATCGGGCGCCTTTGGGGCCCAGGTTATTTATTTGCGGTTCATGCACTCCAATGTCTCACGGGACTCACCGCAGCGAGGCGCAACTTCTGATTCAGTAGATTGGTGCATAACAGCCTGCATCCTTTATCGCAACAATACAAAAGGGACACGTCGCACTACATGCGTGGCACTAATCGCGCACTCTACGTACTATATGAAAGCCACACTGTTCGTTGAAATGTTTGCATCACAAACTTCCGCCCGCGTTCCAAATATTTTATGCTTCTAATGCCCCACGCTCATGACGGAATACATTAAATTCAAGGACTGGGACAAAGATGATTTTCGGTACGCCGAGGAGCGTATCCGCGTGACGGCAGTAATCCAATCGGTCTCTGCAGAGCGAGGTTTTAGCCATGCAACAGTGCAGTAAGCCGCAAGACCCCGCGCATTCGTTATCACATCTCAAAGAATGTTAGGAACATGTCTATGAAGAATGCTAGGAACATGTTTATCAGGATTGGGCTTGTTGAGTTTGCCTTCGTGATTATCCATTTCCAGAAGAAAGAGTGGGTGGAAGTTGGGAGTTCAAGGCATGTCCCAGCAAGGGTTTATTTCACTGAAGATTGCGAGCTGCAGGAAATAGAGCCGAATCCGGAATGGGATGCAGAAAAGAATTGATCATATACTTTCAGGCAATTGTGTATATCTTTGAGCGCAAGTTCTTGGTAGCATCGATCGAAGTTGAATAAGTGCTCAGCAAATTGAAGCACAGAGGCCATGACGTTGAAGTGTAAGGCTAAATAACCTAACCATGTGCAACTAAGCAGAGGAGATCCATATCAGCTCCAAAAGGAACCCTTAATAAGTTTAATGGGGAGCAAGAATAGATACTACTATATAGGTTCAAAGAAGTAGCTGTGTTCTAGACTAACAAGTAATAGCAAGATTTATATGTAAAAAAAATATGGAAACATTAACCGACTCGAGACGGCGCTAAAAGATGATCCCCAGTACATCTACGGCCGCCTCATTTCTCGACTCGAGAACCACCTCGAAGAACTCGAAAATGCATTAAACAATGACGAAAAATTATGGACGAGGCTCAGATATCGATTGAGAGGTTTCGACATAGAGAAACAAGTATTGGAGCCTCGGTTGCAGAGTTTCGGATTTTGGGAGACGTTGAAGAGGGAATCACTGTAAGTAAAGCCAGTGGAGAAAGAGAGAGACGGTCTGAGAAGAAGAAGTCTGATGTTGTAAATAGACGAGGGAAGACCGAGAGACAGATGTTACAGCAAAAATAAGGCTTCCTGTTAGAATCTATTGATTCCGCTTCATAGCCCTTGAGTAGGATCTCCGCTTTCTTTTCAACAAAAAGGCACCTTATTGATGGCTTAACCAAACTATTCTCCTCGTGCAGACCGAACTCAAGATGCAGCTCAGGCGGCATTCGAGACCCGTCAAACTTGTGCATCAAAAGCCTGTCAGGCCAGTAAGATGCAACAGCACCTCGATCGTATTTCCCCAAATCCATTAACAGACTAGTCAAATCATGGCCACCGCCGAGTGCATTATAACCGACCCGGTCGCTGGAGGTGAGCTGGCTGTCAACATGGCTTACTAAGAAGTATGTAACGTTCCACAATTTATGATGAGGTTCGAATAAGCTTCCGGGTTCGAAAGTTGGTGGGAGATTGCGCATAGTACGAGATACAAACTCCGATAAATTGCAAGAGACAATCCGATGGCAGTGGCCTAATTCCAATCACTTTTGCGGGGCTTGAAGCCAATGCAGTAAGGATGACAAAGTCAACGGCATTATGTGCCTGACAGCCCAAATAAAACACCACGCTCGATCAGGCGTGACTTGGAGATGGGTGGGTTCTCCTTGATTTCACAACAAACCTGAAACATATCTCTTCAACTCAGGTGAATTGAATATCCCAAGAAATAACGAGCATTGAATTTAACATCGTGGTTATCCTGCGTCTTAAGCTAGGCAGCGTGGATCGGGTACATTCCCTTTCTACCAATCAACCTGCACTATTGTACTTGACTAAAAATATAGTTTGAAAAGTTGATTGAGATTCTTTCCACCGCTGCGAACTGCATCCAAGTCAAGGAAAAGGATATCTCGCGATTCAGCGCGAATCGGGAAGACGAAGGAACCTACCAACACGCTAGTTCTGATCGAGACGTAAGTCCCCTTTTCACCTATCTCCACGTCCTCATTGGATAGAAAGATCGAATTGCCAGGAGAGGGGTAGATAACTCTAGGTGAGCCTGATTTGACTGTTTGCATGGTGCAGGATAATTCGCAGGCTACTTTCGACAGGCATTTCCTAGCGCCTGAATTTGCAGATTTCAAAGCCACCCTCAAAGCAGAGAATATCCTCGACTAGGCTACGCCCGCGCAGCACTCGTCGAGAAGTTCGAAGACTGGGGAGGCAACGCACCTTCAATCCCTCCTCGACTTTGATGATCCAGCGGATACGGAAATAAGATTTGTTGAGCATGTTGCTGGGTTCATGTAGCTTGGTAAATTTTGGGTTTCATACGCTCTTCTTTCAGTGTTGATGTTGCGTTAGCTGGAATCGTATCACCTACAAACATTGACGCAGAAAGAATATAACACTTAATTGCACCTGTCAGATATACAAATTCGGTGAATGCACTTTCAACTGAGCACTGAATCTAATAAGACTGTGAATAATCCAAAAATTTCCCATGGCAAGTAAATCATAAAAGATCCACAAACCTACCATCCAAACCCCTAACTTCCTCCCTCAACATCATATCTCCCATTCCAATTAACACCGATAACACCCAAAATGGCTTCTCCATCAAACGCCTCCGTCTCTTCACCCCAAGAAACAATAAACTACACCTTCGACATCTACATAATGAAGTCCATCCTCCACACGATCCACAGCAGCGATCTCATCCACCGCCAGCCCACCGAAGTCCAGCGCACCGCGTTCGCCTCCACCGTCTCTCTCCTCTCCCGCCAACTAACGAAGACCGAAGAGGAACTCCAGAAGCGGGATTCGTGCGGGAAGCGCCTGCAGAGATTCCTGACGTGCAGGGATAAGGATTTTGTGAACTTCGTGAAGCTGAAGGACGAGGTGAGGGAGGTGTATTCGGAGCTGTTGCTGAATGCTACGTGAGTTCCTCCACCTCCTAAATATACCATCTCGACAAGTTTGCGGGGATCTGCTGACGAGAAATGAAGGCCGACGCCACTGGTGCAGAATCCTACACCCGGGTCATCTGTAGGATCGAGCAAGTCAGGATCTAGCTCGGATCAAGGGCTGTATATGAAGGGTCCCAGTACGGAAAACAAGCGGTGCAAGGATGCTGAAGAGGAAAAGGCCGTCGGTGAGCAGATCGAAGATGTCAACCCTACGGTCCAGGTCATACCCGCAACGCCTGGCTCCTCAAAGATCACTACGAAAACAAGCTCTAGCTCAACAATAAAGACGAGTAAGGTGAATCCTTCTACGATGGGGGAGGGGGAAATGAACATTTTTAAGCAGATTTAGGAGTAGATTAAGGGCAAAGAAGGGAAGAACGGCGGGGAGAAGGATAAGAGCGATTAGCCGTTGCTGCAGGCGGACTTGTAGTGCACAAGGAGAGGAAGGTTTCTTGGATAACGGCAGCACTTGCTGGATCATGGCTATACATGCCAGAATTAAACTATTGGATTTCTTATTTTCCAGTTACCGAAAGAGCCATGCCCGAGCTATTATCTCATGTGATTCGCTTCATACTGCAGACACCCTCTCTCCTCTCCTTTTTCAGTATCCTCTTTCTCCACTCTATCTACAACCCAGCAGCAAACATAGCCGCTCCCCCCAAAAGCGCACCCATCTCCACCACGCCCGTCGGCATCGCCTTCACAAACCCCCCCACGCCCGCACTGCTCGAACTCGTAGTCAACGGCCTCATCGGCGTCTGCGTCAACGTCGTGCTCTGCACAACACCACTCGTAAATGGGACATCGGTCGCCGAGCTCGCACCGCTAAACGCCACGCTCGTGGTGCTCGGGTTCGGGGTCGCCGCAGTATTATTAGGATTCAGGACCCCGTCGATAACATGCACGACGCCATTCGCAACCAGGACATCCGGGACGATGACGCGGGCGGAGTTTACGTAGACGGTTCCGTTCTCGACGGTGATGGTTACGGATCCACCGCTGACGGCCATGAGTGTGCTGTTGGTAAGCGAGGAAGAGTAGCCGACGGTGCCGTTTATGACATGGTATTCGAGGATTTGGGCGAGTTAGGCGGTGGAGAGGGTGCCGACTGTGGAACCGATGGCTTGGAATGCTGCGTTTGAGGGCGCAAAGATGGTCACGTCGTGGAGGGAGTCGACTATTGAGACGAGGTTTGCTTGTGTGAGTGCGCCGGTCAGCGCAGGGAGATTGGCGGCAGCGGCGGTGGCCGCGTCGGATTCGGGGATGGTGAGGACGGTGTCGATTATGTGGAGGACGCCACCGGTGAAGTTGAGGTCCTGCGGGTGGGTGTTAGTGAGCGAAGAGAGTGAGTGGGTAACCCAATGGGTGATTGGCAGGAAGCGGCAAAATGCGAGATGTGGGTGGGACGTACAGCAGTGACGACTATGCTCTTTGCCAGCAGACCGCTGAGGATCTCCACACTGGAGCCATTGAGTCGCGCCTCGACTCTCTGGCCTCCAGTCACATTAGCGTAAGTTGTGTTCGTCAACAGAGTGGGGAGGAATTGAGACGTGTTCGTGAAAGCCGATGCTGGGTAAGAACCATTCAGAACGTGGTAGGTCAAGAGCGCAGTGACGAGGCCGGGGTTGGTGGCTGCCGCCTCGCCTGTCGACGAGTTGAGGAACGTTGCCAAAGCCTCATTGTTGGGTGCGAGAATGGTGATGTTGCTTGCGCTGCCGAGAGCTAACACAAGGCTTGGGTTGGCTGCCAGGAGGCCTGTGGATGTTTAGTTGATAACGTGAAGCGAGGGGTAAGCGACATACTAGTCAACGCGCTGAGGGATGAGTTTTGTGATGCCAAAACCTCGGCGAGGTTCTGAGCCGATGCAACAGCCCCGATAGTGAGGGAGAGCAGCTTCTTGAATTGCATGATGACTTGCAGTTCTGGTGGATGTCTCACTTGCGGAGCGATGTATATGACTGAACTCTGCAGGAGACGATGGCGGGAAGAAGGAAACTTTAGGAACGGAAGGAGAGAAATGGGTTTGTCTCCTCTTTATGCAGGGCAAGCCAGAAAGATAGTATCCGCAGGGAGGAGCCTGAGAAGTATAGGCTACGACCCCAAGACCTAAGACTTCGCAGACCAATTGCTCTTCTTGGCTGCCGTGGGAGGCATCCTTCGACTTGAAGCCTAGTCGCATTGGCTGGATGCCATCGCGCCGTCTTGTCTTGTACAATGCGTAAACTCTTTTGGCCAAGAAACATAAATAAGTAGATCCCGGGAGTTCACTAAGTTTCTTGAATCAATCCGTGCGGGAGGATGTCATATCGCGCCATCCAGCCTCGCAATGAGGCAAGGACTCGTTCGGGTGAAGGCTTCGAGAAAGCCAAATGGCAAGGAAAGAGAAATTTGTCAGTTGCAAGCTGTCAACGGAACGGCTCTCCGTCCCTTCTCGCGGTGTTGACGCATCGAAAGAGGTAGTTCAACCCAGTAGATTATGCATGCCGTCGTCAGAGCCTTGCTCAGCCACGTAGTATGAGGCAATCTGATATGCACGGTCAAGAGCTTCCCCAGAAACCCAAGAGGTCGGGTGCATTGGCACGGATACACGGATTCTCATCAGCGAAATCAATTGGTTGGTGGTGATGCAAAGTCGTTGATGTTGAAGATCTGTGGAAGGGTTAAAGAGTTATTATCCCTGTAGACTTTTCTTGGACGGGAAGCTTGTCCCGGTTTGGGATCGCGGGGTGTATTCGAGGCTATGCCCCACATTCAAGTAGATGTTTGACGCGGACTGTTTTTGCACCACTCAAGAGGCACACGGTGGGTGAGATAAAATCAAGGAACGATAAAAACGTTCCGAATCATGTGTAGCCGACAGCCGCCTGCGGAGGCGTGAGGCGAATGCGGCAGCGTAGGAGGAGCATTTGGGGGGAAGTTTACTGCAGCACTGGTGCCAAGGAATGGACGCGGTCTTGTCTTTCGCTGAACTGTGTATCGGCGACTAGCCAAGTAGTCAGCCAGGAGCACAGTTCCCGATGGCTGATTCAGGGGAGGGGGCCTTGCAAACGTCGTGGACCACACGCATCTTTCCCCGTGCATAATCCGTTACAGAACAAGGGCCGTACGATTGTATAGGGTTCCATTAATGCGCGAATGTCTCTTCTATATAGGATCATCAGTATACGGCGGGGGCGGGTTCTGTTCATCTGTGCGAGTTGTCGGTGCGGGAACGGGCGCCTCAGCAATTAACCTCTTCTGCTCCTCCAGCTTTACAACCCAGAGTGCCGACCCACACGCGGTGGTAAGGAGGAAAAACATCGACAGAACAGGCACAAGTTGTAGAAGCAGAGCCACGGTCCCAAACCTGTAGAGAATATGTCAGCACATCCCCTACTACGCCTGCTCTTTAGAAGGTATGATATACCAAGTATATTTCCAACCCCTTCTCCTGATCGCCTCCTTCCGCTCCTTCTTCGTGAGGCCCAATAACTTGAAATATCTCCAATGGTGGAATGGGCCCGCGCGCGCGCCCGTCAGGACCAAGAAGAACGGCGTGCCGATTACAGGTATCAGGTTGAGCGGAAGGAAGAGCACGAATTCGGCGATTTGGCGGAAGGAGAATGGGGAGTAGACCGCCGCGCTGGTGGGTTTGCCGAGCATCTTGACGGCGTTCGGGGCATCATGAAAGAGAATGCGGGAGGGGGACACGAGGTCGACGAGGCCTTCGCGAATGAGTGTTGCCTCGAGAGGAGAAGTGTTAGCCATCTGCGAGCAAGAGGAGGGGGGGGGCCGCGCGAGAGGGGAGGGAACAGGAAACACCACGGGAGTAGACATACATCGAAGATATTGACAAGCGTCTCGTCAACCATGAAGGCTTCAAACAGTAAGGCAACCAGTACCTGCCCTTCCCCGAGGACGAGGAAAACTGCGTTGAACCATGCTGTCGGGCCGTGGAAGATAAGGAGAAACGCGACTTGTGGCAGGTAGGTGAAGGTAAAAAGAATGCCGAGTATAACGAGCGAGATGACCGTCAAGGGGATTAACTGCCGGCCAAAGAGAGGCCAGAATTCGCGGTGGGTAAGGCAATAGTAGATTCCCTTGCAGGGATAGAGGAAGGACGCGCTGACGACATTGCGGATGGGCTGGAGGGCGGCCGCGGTGATGGGACGAGGATCTGGCATAATGGAGAGGGGGGCACTGTCAATGCTGTGGAGGAATAGGAGAAGTCAGAGCTGTAGATGTAGATGTTGAAGGTTGTTGTTCGAGACATTCTGTGCAGCTCGTGATCCCTGTCCGATGACGCACTTCGGCTGCTTATGCCTGACGTGGGGCCTGGATGTCAGAGGCAGCGGAAACGACGACCTCTCATTTTCTTCCTCCTTCCTCCGTCTTCACCGGCTGCGAACAATGCCTCTGCAGACTCGCAACGCCCGGCTGGAAGCTCGCCGTGTAATCAAGTACTGGCCTCGCGATGCTGCATATATATACCAACTGCGAGGAACCACGAAGGGTGATGATCACGACTCAAGTTCGAGAGGATGTTGGACTGGACGGATGATCCCGCGGCAGGTTACTCGTAAAGGGGCAGGAATGGAAAACGGGGAGTACAGAATGCTTTATATCTTGTATCCTGGCCAGCAAATTCTCTTGGAACATCCCGCGAATGCATATATTTTTCTACGTTGATGTGGTTGGAAATGATTGGCGACCATCAGTCTGCGTCACCAGATCTTCTCGGGAGATATCTCCTTTCGATGCAGGTACGGTGCGATTTGACATGAGATCTCAATTCAATCCGAGTTGTCATTTCGTCTGGTGACTGCAAAGAGATCTACATCGGTGGAAAGTCGCAGCTTGTGCGGCCAGTCTGCACCAGGCCGATTCATTTATTTCTCGCGTGCAACCTGCATGTTTAGCAGCCGTTCCTTTTGCAGCCGTTGCCTTGAATGCAGCGCAAACACCCCTTGAAGTCGAGAATAGAGCAAGGTCGAAACTGGAAGTCGAGCTTAGGAAGAGGAGGTCCTTCAATTTCCCAGAGTTTCTCTGCACCGAAGTTCGGCCTTGAGACTGACAATCTTGCCTGGTGATACGAAGTCAATACCAAGTCCAGGGAAAGAAAGTGAAGCAAGAAAATGAGGGAACCTGGCTTCTCTCTGCCTCAAACAAATTGTGATGCCGAGCTGCCGATTCTAGCAGCGAGTGGCCTCGCTTGTTGACGTCCCCTCAAGCGCAAACCAAACGTAGCCTTGCTCCCTTCCCTCCCACAAATTCTTTTTCCTTTCAACTTCAACCACTTCTCCGCAACAACCTCCTTCTCCCCGTCTCCAATACCTTCTTTCGAAGTCCGTTCCTTTCCCCACACTCGTTTGACTACCTTCTGCGTCCTCTTGACGCGTAGTAAATACCATCACGCTCGTTACAACGATCTCCGATTCATTTCGAGTAAATAAAGACCGTCACGTCTCCAAGATGCGCTCTCCGGTCCTGAATGTCGTCATGGGTATGCTCGCGTTCGTTGCCCTGGTTGCTTCAGCGCCTGCTGTCTCCTAGTAAGTCATCGTTGCTCTTATTGATCTATCCACGCGGTGCTAATGCTTCGAAGCGGTCCTCCAGCATCCCTCTGTGCCCCAACCACAGTCTTCGTGACCATCTCTTCGCTTTCGACCGTCACCATCTACAACCCTTCTCCAGAGACCACCTACGTTACTCGCCCTTGCAGCTCTGAGACCGACCCAGGTACTCCAACCACTACCTTGACGCGCCACAGCACTCTGGTCACCACAGCGTACCCACAAGTCGACACGATCCTTCTTACAACTCCTGTCCGCGCCTCCACACAGCTTCCTGAGAACGCTGCGACCACGGAAGCACCAAACTACGTTGCTACGATCACCGAGACCACCATTCTTGTCATCACCAATGTTCAACTCACTCCATACCAATCTGGTGGCCATCTCACCTACAGTGAGACTGCCGCTCCCAACGGCCTCCTTCAATTTGTGGTCGAGAATGGTACCACGTATTGGTTGAATGGCCAGACTCCTGCTCCTTCCCAGTCATACATGATTCAAACCAGTGTCGTGACCGTTGAACCCGTCCCTGAAGCTTCTGCTACTTCTGACGAGACGAGCACGGTTCACTTGACACGCTATTCCACTCAAAAATTCACCATCACCGAGGCGCTTTCTTCCTCGAGCGCAGCCAGAGCCGCATCAAGCCACACTGAGCAGCCCACCACCAAGTCACTTTCAACCTCATGCTTGACCAGCACTGCATCAAGCTATATCGCAACCGGCTCAACATTCACGGGAATCGGTGCTGGAGGATGGAATGCAACTTCAACCACGCGTTCCGGCTCCCAGAGTGGAGCTATTGGTTCTCCAAGCACGCTCTCTCTGATGCCGCTACTTCCTTCCCAGCCACTTAGCCTCGCTACCACATTCTCTCTTCTGTCTCTGACTAGTCTGGCTGCGCAGTCAGGCTTCAATGCTTTCAGTACATCGTCAGCGCTCGGCTCGGCCTCAACTCCTGGTGGAACTTATACTTCTACGATTGTTCCACCATATGCCAATACCACCTCACCGGCTTCAAGATCCTCGCCTTATTCTGGCAGTGCGGTACAATCTGCTTCAAATTCATTCCCGAGCAGCTACTCTGCATCACAGGTCTTCAACTCCACCACCGTTAAGCCGTCATATACCACCGTTCCTGTGCCGGCTAGTACAACTACTCCGTCTTCGACAAGCTTGAACCAGACCTCGACATCTGCTTCCTCCGCAGCATCTGCTACATCAAGCAACTGTGGCGAGTATGGAGACTTCACACTCACCGTAAGTCATCCGAGAGCAACTGGAACAATGCATGCAAACTAACCTCCACTAGTTTGACGATATTCCCCCGTTGAGCGTCTCCAACCCCAACCCCGATGACGTTCAACCAGAGCCTGTCTTCAATCCATATCACCAATTTGACTTCTCGGATGGTTTTGTCGTCGTTCCGCCGCCAAGATCTCCATACCTGCCGTCCTCGAAGCCTCTGTTTACCGAGTTCATCCCCAACTTCAACATTAATGGCACCAACCCCATGGCTGGACCCACCACTGCGGAGTACGGCTATTCTGGGGACATTGGCAACGGCGATCATGGCCTGACTGGCTGTTTCAGCTTCAACATGTATGGAGCATCCTTCGGCTGCGATTCCCGCGGTCCAGACTGCGTCTTCCATTTCACTGGTTACCGGTACAATAGGAGCACCCGCAATACCACCGCAGTCACCTCCCAGAGTATCTCTGTTCCGGCTTGTCCTGCCCTGGCTAGTTGCACATTGACCCCCATCACCCTGGACAACAGCTTCAGCAACCTCGATTCCATCCGCATCAACGTCACCGTGGGTTCCGCTCCGAAGATCTGGTGGATGGACGACCTCCGATTGGGCTGGTTCGACAACTCCTGCAAGGCCGGCCTCTGCCGAGTCTCCACCCCAATTCATTGAATTCTTGACCTCTTGAGCAAAGGATAGTACAATGAGATACTTGGAGATGAGATAAATACTTATAGTTGAGATGAAGACGCACTAGCTCGCGACCTTATTATACATGTTGTGTTGATGTAGAGATAGATTCTCTTTCCTTCCCCATTTGCTTTGCACTTTTTCGCCTTTTCTGCATCCTCGATGGATTGCCATATTTGGTGACTCTTGCCGAGACCATCTGTATGAGTTGTTTTTTATTTGCTTTGAGAGGCTTGCTTGCATTAATGGTTATGATACTATGACATGGGAGAGATTGCATCCGGTGTGTGCTGCGAGGGAGCTTTATCTCACGATAGAGACTGAGTAGCTGAGCTTTAGAGCACAGCTTAGAGTGCCTTGGCACCATTAAAATAAAATCACTTTTAGTGAATTGCCCGCGTGCATGATTGTGATACCAGGGCGAATATAGTAAAAGAAAGAAAGTATTAATTTCTATGAATTCCTTATAAAGTAATTTAAATTTAAAGACAAAGCAAGATTTCCGGTTTTCCAGTCCGAGTGCCTCTACTTTGGGTTAGCAGGCTGGTTTGGCCCCCAATTGACACCCGCAATCAACAATTGGGGGGTGTCATTTTACGTTTTTCCCTTTTGCGCCTCCTGCACCCCGCTTAGTCCTCACCACATCAACTGCTCATATTTATTTCCCCTCTCCCCCTCTTCTCTATCTGCCTCCCCACTACCATCTATATCGCCCCTCGCCCTTTGTACCAGGCACCCTCTTCTGAAATACATGCTATTCGGCACACCCCGCTTCTCCGGTTTGCTCGCCGTGCTCCACCCGCGCATTCAAACAATACCCGGCGCTCTGACTCCTTACTGCTCCGCCTGGCGTCAGTCACTTAACATGATGTCTACCCATTCCCCAACCATCTACGACGCCGTCGTAATCGGCTCCGGCCAAGCCGGTACCCCTCTCGCATCCGCCTTCGCAAACGCGGGTCAGAAAACCCTACTCATAGAACGTACCCACATAGCTGGGTGCTGCGTGAATGAAGGGTGCACACCTACTAAGACACTTATTGCTTCTGGACGCGCTGCCTATCTGACACGTCGCGGCCAAGACTACGGGATTCACACGACTAACCTGATGGAGGAGAACCGGGTCTGGGTTGATATGCACAAAGTGAGGCAGCGGAAAAGGGATATTGTGGATAGTTTTAGGGGCGGGAGTGAGAAGAGGCTGAAGGAGGCGGGAGTTGACGTATTGATGGGGGAAGCGTCTTTTGTCGGTGCAAAGGAAGTAAAGGTCAAGATCAATGATGGGACGGAGAGGCTCGTTGAAGGGAAGAAGTTCTTTATTAACGTGGGCGAACGTCCTGCTTCCCCTTCCCTCCTGGGAATTGAGAAGTTAGGCAAATGGCAAGTGCTGGATTCAACCAGTATTCAAGAGTTGGATGTAGTGCCTGAGAAATTAGTTGTGATTGGGGGAGGTTACGTAGGCGTAGAGTTTGCGCAGTTGATGTCGAGGCTGGGGGCCGAGGTGACAGTGGTGCAAAGGGGGAGGCAGCTACTGCCGAGAGAGGACCCCGAGATTGCGGAGAGTTTGAGGAGAATTTTGGAGGAGGATGGCTTAGATATCAGGCTGGACAGTGAGGTGGTTGGCGTGAAGCTAGTGGATGGGGATAGCTTCACTTTGAAAGTCCAGACCGAGGGGAAGGAAGAAAGAGACAGCATCAAGGGGACACACATTCTCTTTGCAGCAGGCCGGGTACCCAACACCGATTTTCTAAACCTGAAAGCCGCGGGAATAGAGGTGGATGCCAGGGGGTATATTGTGGCAGATGAATTCCTCACCACGGCGGCGGAGAACGTCTATGTCCTAGGGGACGTAAAGGGCCCACCTGCCTTCACGCACATTTCGTATGACGACTTTCGCATCATCAAGAGGAACCTCCTGGATACCAAAGATCAGGTCACCAAACTCAGTACCAAAGGCAGGCTTGTACCGTATGTAGCATATACGGATCCGCAACTGGGCCATGTGGGACTGCATGAAAGTGAAGCGAGGGCAAAGTTCCCGGGCAGGAACGTCCAGACGGCGAAGATGCCGATGGCCTATGTGGCGAGGGCACTGGAGACGGATGAGAGTAAGGGGCTGATGAAGGCCGTAGTCGATGGGGACTCGGGAGAGATCTTGGGGTTTACCTGTTTGGGTATTGAGGGTGGGGAGGTCATGGCTGTGGTACAGATGGCTATGATGGGTGATATTGGATATCAGAAGTTACAAGATGCTATTTGGGCTCATCCGAGCTTGGCAGAGAGTTTGAACAATCTTTGGGGCTTCTTAAGTTAAGTCATATTATATTATTAGCCTAGTTACAATTTCTAATCTCTTCCATATTATTTTAACACATATCCTTTATACTTTTATAAGTAAGTAAGGTTTAAAGAAGTTAGTGTTTTAAAATTTAAATTAAGTAATTTTAACTCTAATTTAAAATTCTTAAAATTCTTTCTAGATCTATTACAGTTGCTTAGAACAATATTTCCTTACATATGATTCTTATCTTTAATTATTTAAATTTGCTCTGTCTTTGTATAGAAATATGAAAATTATACAAGGGTAGACTACCTCTTGGCACTAAAACTCCGGAGAGGGTAGGAGTCTTACAAGACGAGATATTTTTAGATTCAGCTTGTGTTTCATACTCATTTCCGCTACGTTACATTAACGCCATCTGTGTTTCCTTAAATTTCTCGAAATCCATCCGGGGCTATCCTTTAAGCGTTGAGCCTTATCTGCTTGACACATGAATCATGAATCCTCAAGCCACGTTTATAATGCCATGTACTGCTCTCAGCCAACCATTTCCACATAAAAGGATCTCCGCTACCCAGTCTGAGAAATTACGAAACCGGCGTCCTTATTTTGGAGTCAGGGTGAGTTAGTGATTGGTGGGTCGTCCGAACGCCTGCACTTGCCCCCGAGTCAGCAGGAGAACGGTGCAGAACCTGCTCGCTTCAAGATCACTTCGCGTCGACATCAGACACACGCTTCAGACTCGATCACTAAGTGAACGGTGTCAAGCGCGATCCAACGAAGGCCAGACTGCTATCGGTCATATTTGCTTCATTGTACTTTGAGACCGATTTCTTCCAGGCCGTATCAAACACGCCTCACTGCGGAGCGATCAGAGTTCCAACATTGATAGATACAAAAGGAGTGTGCCCCTGCCACTACCTCTCTTCGAAACGACAATATTCCCCGTCTATATTTTGAGGTCTCCAAGCAGGTACTTGATTGGAGGGAAAAGAAGCGAGAACAAGCATCTGTACGAAGATTGCGGCATAAAGTGACGGGATTACAGGGCATTTGTATCGCAAGTCCACTTTCAGGCCACTTTCTACTACACTCACCCACTAAAGTCCCCTATATTTCCAGGCTACCCTCCTGTAAGCACGCTATAAACTATAAACAAGGGGTACCACACCTTTAGAAGGCATATCCCCTGTACTTACAAGGGCATTATCGCTAAATAGTCCTAAAATAGCTCTCTCCCAGCGCCCGAGCGCTACGGTTGCTCCGCCAGCAACACCATAACCCTTGAAGATCTTCCACCACCTTGGAAATGTCTCACAGCCCTTATTTTAGGGGTTCAGGCCTAGAGTTACAAGGCTTATAGCGGGCGCAGTACCTTAAGCCACACCCTGGAGTCCGCTAAGACCCCTACCCGAGCGTAAATGCCCTGTAATCCCGTCACTTTATGCCGCAATCTTCGTAGAAATGTCGGCCAACAGAGAGGCTTCTACTCTGGCGACATCTAACTGTGAAAGGCTGGTGGCTGCGAAGGAATTCTCAATGGGTAGTCGTGGATATCAAGTTGACTTTGAGTCTTCCAAAGTTTTAGCCCTCCCATTTTATCAAATGGGACGCAGTACCAGGTGTTTGTGGACAATGATAACAAAGGCTCATGGGGCGGGGCTTCATTCAGGCCGGGCAGCAATGATCTTGAGCCTTCGAGGGTGAAGCGGGTCCCTGGCTCGTCGAGACAAAATCCGATAGATTTGACCGATGAGGGGCAAGTGGCAAGTGCTAAACCCAAGCCAAGGAAAAAGCACCGTCGCGTGACAAGTGAGTACCGACTTCCTTCTCTTGCCCTCGTGTAACTCCCGTCGTGTCTTCAAGGAATAGTTTTCTTTCTAATACTAAGAGGAGGGGTTGTGCTCACGCGCTCGCAGACAATTTCCCGTCGCCATCGCCGCCGCCGTCCTCACACCTCAGGGTGTAAAGCCAAGCTACAACCGAGTGGCGTTTGCGAATTTGAGGGACCAGAGCCCTAATTACGAGCCTGGAGTTAGTTCCGCAGCAGAGTCAGAAGAGTATCAGTCCGAAGAGAGTAATTGATCATCGGGACATACACAGGGACGGGACTGAGGAGCTGGAATGGGAAATGCAGTGCGGCAGATTGAAAAGTGCCGTGACAGCGGATATCCTTTTCAATTGGAAGAGTGCACGAAATCTTGAGGAATCTATTATAAATTATTTCGGCACATAGCCTTTCTACTTTCTATTTTTGGGAAACCCGTCCCAGAAAATCACAATTCAACCCCGTGACTTAAATCTACTCATCGTAATCCTCATCCTCTAATCTTCTCAGTAACAGTAACAGTCACCGTCTCAGTAACCGTCTCCTTCTCCGAACCACCCGTCATCTGCGGCACAGGAATAATTGTCAAAACCGCACTGCCAGGACCATCACCCACTGCAATCGTCGTCGACGTAGGAGTGAGAGTGGAAAGTGGCTGCGGTGGTGCCGGTGGCTGAGGCGCTGGTTCTTGGGCTGGAGAACTCGGTGCAGGGATTTGAAGTGTCATTGTTAATATGCTGCTGGCTATGACTGTTTCCGTGATCGTTCTGTCAGGAAGTGTTGAAGAGGTGGTAGCCGGAGAAGATGTGGCGGGAGGAGGGTTGGGTGTTGCGGGAGGTGCGACTGGCGATGACGAGTGTGGCAGGAGGCTGGTGACAGAGAGTGTTGTCTGGCTTGCGAATGGTGGCGGTGGTGAACTAGATGATGAAGTGGAGCTGCTCAAAGACTTGGTGGAAACCGTTGTGGGCGATGTTGCAACGTTTGTTGCGGAACTTAGGGTCAAACTCAGCTCACTTGCAGCTACTGCTTTATCTGCACACCCTACGTACACGCCTCGTGTGGTATTCATCGGTAGAGCGAAGCATTGTTGGCCGGTGCCGCAGACATTGGTAATGACGAAGCTCCCTTGCTTGTCACATGTCCCAACATTGCCAGCTATGCAAGCAATTTCACTGCCGGTGCAGGGAGAGGAGAAATTGAGGGTTGAGAATAGGTTGTTATAACCTTTTGCTTGGGCCAGATTTTCGCTGAAAATAGCAGAGGATACCGTGCCAGTGGCTGGTGGAGCTGATTGGATGACAGTGGGTACTTTTGACATTGTTTCAGCCGGGATCGAAGGTGTTGGTGGTACATTTGTAGAAGAAGTGGGGGATGGCTTAGAGCTGCTGGTTGGAGTAGATGCATTGAAAGTGGTTATTGTTGAGAAATTGATCACAATGAGCGTGGTGGAGTCAGCGCCGGGCTGTGATTGGAAACCTGCAGACGCCGCCAAACTGGAAGATGACGGGCCGACAGTTGGCAGTGGAACCGAGCTGGTGTTATTAAGTGCAAAGAACGGAATCGAGGTTGATGACGGCTTCGCTTTGGGCGAGACAGAATTGCTAGTGGTTTCTGCGAATTGATTTGTCGTGGATGAGTCGGCTTTAGGTTGAGCGGCTTCAATCGATGGGCGGGAATTACTGGCGGCTGTGGGGCCAGGTAAAGTCGAGGAACTCGAGAAAGGCGATTTCGGCGAGCTGCCGGTCTGTGAAGGCTTGGTACTTGGACTTCCCAAAATTGCAGGTTGGACACCTTGATTACTCGATGTCGTGCTCGTCGTTTTGATGATGGAAGATGTTGATGGGCTTGGCACGTGACTTGCAATCGATAATGAGGAAGAAGATGTAGTCTCTGGAACGGGTATTATGGTGAGGACATCAGCGTCCGGAGATGAGCTCGAGCTTGTAGCACTCTGTGTGGTATTCGAGAAAGGAACACTTCGTGGAAGACTAACCATATGTCAGCATATTTCGGACGGGGACACTGTCTGGGTCGTACATTCTGGGATCGCCATCGCGACGTACAAGTCCCGCAGAGCTTAGAACTGCAAGTAAAAAGATCCCTGAGACTATTTGTGATCTGATCATAATCGCAACTATCCCCAGGTTGGATTTGATCCGTTCCGGATTCGAAAGCTCGTCACAAAGGCAGACTCGACTTCGGTTGAAGATTTGAGAGATGTAGCGTTGAACGAGTCGAGATGTTATAGCTTCAACTTTTTGGGAACTGGAAGAACTAAAGAAAGAATGATGATCGAAACAATTTTCAAACAGAAAGAGACAGACGGACGGTTCGAGAGATGGAAGAAATCACGAGTAGAGAACGACGATGAGTGCACTCAAACAATCCCATCTTCGACGGAGACCTGCAGCATCTTGTACCATCTCATCCGCCTGTTTCAAGATCCAAAGGCCATGAAAGGACGACCGCTTCAGACCTCACACTGGCCTTTGTCTGGGCACGTCCCTTAGTTTGCTCCAGCCCCGTCGCATGTTCTGGGCGGCTCACGAAATGAAACCGGGTGGCTGGCATGCTCTGAACAGAGAATACAAAGATGACTAGGAGATGAAATCACGAGTGTGAGAAACAGGAAGACGTGTGAGCCAATAGACGTGTATTGGGTCGCGGGGAGTTGAGACGTTGGGTTTGGCGGTTGCGACACGAGGTTTGATGTTGGCGCGTTCCAGACGCGAGCCGAGCGATGATTGGCCAACTCTGTTTTCAGGGGAGACAAAGATGACTGGGAAGCTTGAAGTGGTTTCATTGGGCAATGCGATCGAGAAGAGCTTATTGGAAGGAAGGTTAAGCGTAAACGCGCGTAAGAATATAGAAGCCAGAAGCGCGGCCGTTCTTAAAAAAGTTGAGTCCAATGACAGCGAAAGTCTCGTGACCCAAACGCCCAAATGCACCTTGAAGCGCGATAAGCAGGACAGGTTTCATAGCTGAGCAATGCAGTTTTGCAGGAACTTGCCGCTAGTTCATGCTTTCTTCTGGAGAGTGAAAACGGAAGAAGAGAAGAGAGCCCAGGTTACAGTGGAGCAGAGTCACGTGACTGGACTACTGGCTTCCTTCAATACTCTTGGGTGTTGAGACAAAGCTTGAAATTTTTTAAACAAGGGCATTCGCTATGTCTAGGATCCATTTAGCGCAATTCCAGAGAGCTGGATATCAGGAGTGCTCATCACGTGCCGTCAGCCACCGGAGTATTATGCAGCCTCATGTTTCAGCTCTGCATGTTTGTTGCGTGCCGCAAAAGGGCGATGTGCATCATGTGAGAAGTTCATCTTTTGATTGGCCGAGGAACGGCCGTCAGGGCCAATCACAAGACGGGTTGTCCACTTTTGCCAGTGGGGGGGGCATTTTGTTAAGCCTTAGGCACTTACATCGCTTAACATTCACGCTAAGGAGTAGAGGAGTACTTTATCTTGCCTACGAACGTCTTACGAGCATTAGGCTTCTCTTCTAAAAAAAAATCTCAATTTCTAGAACTCACTCTTATATCTCGTAAAGTCCTGTTTCACCCCGTCGATACATTACCTGGTACAAGTCTCACTTCTGCCTCTTTGTCTTTTGAACCCTCACCCGGCGATGTATAAAAGGGGGGGCATTCACATGACCATTCGAAGGCTAAAGTTTGGGATTTAACAAAGTTTAGAGAGGCGGACTCGAGGCTTTTATAGTTGCCTTACAAAAGCAAATTTCTTAAAGAGCGATATATAATATATAATACAAGTTTAGGGCCGCTTTGCTAAAATTATTAATTGGCCCCGGAGCTTATATAGGGCCGCCAATTAATAATTTTGCCCTAAACTCGTCCCGAGTGGGATTGGAATATAATAAAGGCTAGTACAGACTCTTTACGGACCCTTTATAGACGGTATAGGAAGAAAAATAGCCCGTAAGTATACAAAGTCAGCTATAAGTAAGTTAAAAGCTAAGTAAGACCTTGTAATATTTCTGGGTATACTATATTACTTATACGGTTTATATTAGGGAATAAAAGAATATAAAGCCTTACCTATAAGGTTACCTGTAAGGCTGCTATATAGAACTGGCCATAAGAAAAGACCGGGAACTATAAATCCACCCCTACTGCCTCAAACGACTGGCCCTATAACTTATTAATAGTTATTATAAAGGATAAAGCAAATGAAAACTGCTTACGGAAGAGTATAAAAGACAGTTACTAATCCGTTAACTGGAGCTTGATCCGTAGAATCGTCCGTAACTGGCCGTTAAAGTCGCTACCTAGTAGCCGTATACAAATCGAGAACCTCCTAAAGCTATAAATCAATATCCGCAACCCGTTATAAAGCCCTTCCTATAGACAGAGATTCCGTAAGAGTATTACGGGTATACCAATCTTGAATTATAGCTTGGAAAGAGGCAGACCCGGTAAATAGATATTCTATAAGACCTCTAGAGGTAATTTTGTAATCTCAGGATCCGCTTTATTTATATTGGCCGAATCTACTATAAAATACATCCGTTTCTGGCCAGGGAATATATCCAGGATTATTTAGTTAAGCTTATAGACCGTATTATTTAGGGTTAATAGGATTGCCCGTCTACTAAAGGCCTAGTAATTATACGGGGCCTATAAGAGTCGCTCTTATAGGTAGATATAATTAATTAGGTTTATAACTAACTGGATATATAGAATAAAAGGCAGGAGTATAATTTATCTATTTAAAAACGGGTTATATAACAGACTACTAATCTAGTCTATAAAATCCTATTCAGACAGGTTATTACGGACCCGTATATTAATCTATAATAATAGCTAATAGAGCTATAGCCAGATTTATATCTACTATAGGCAGGCCCGTATTATATTGGCCTGTAAACCGTATAGGACTACTAGTAAGATCTGGATAAAGTCTCTCCCGAGAATTACAGGTATCCCTCTAAAGAGAATATTATCTATAACCAACCGTAAATTAACTATTAGCCGGTATACTATCTCAAAGTAGTACTTATACTATATGGGTATCTCGTCCCAGATAATTAGGTCTATAGATTACAAGAGAGCCCCGAACCGGTTCGTCTTAGTAATTATATTTATAAACGACTTATTAAGCTTAAACAGGATCCGGAACTAGGAATGAGATATATATCTGTCCGGGAGAAGAAGAGCCATAATACCCGTTAATACTATATATAGAACTACCTTACCTTAGCTATAGTAATAGTAATAGAGGATCTTATAAAGAAATGTCTTACCGGTCCCGTCCGGGCCTTATAAGTAGAAATAGGCAGTTTGTAAATTATCTATAATTACTACTATAATTATCTGGAAGTAAGAATACTAGTCTATATTTAGCTAGACTTATATTATAGTTACTAGTAATATCTTATGAATATAATTAACCTATAGATTAGTTATATAATGGCTTATAGTCTAGTTAAAGGTATTCTCAGATAAGGCAATATTCGTAAGTATTTACTAGAGATCCGTAAGACCGAGACCAAGCAAAAAGAGGCTATAATTATAGTAAGGATTAACCAAGGGTAATAGGAAATTAATTAATGGGTTATAGGTAAGCTTATAAGCCAAGTTATTACAGAAATATTTCTTATACTAGTTCCAGATTACTTATATATCTGTAATTAGCTACTAGTAAATACCTATAAGAAAAAGTATCCGTAAATTATAGCCAGTTATTAATAAAATAGCCTTATTAAAATACTAGAACTATTCCTAATTATTCTCTACTAAGCTATAGATAATACAGGTAGTATAATATATAGGATAACGGATACCTTTAACCAAGTAGAGCTCATTAAAGGACTATAGATCGTATATAACTATTAGTAAGAGCTATAAATAGAATCGCTTACCCGAAACTGGGCTATAGTAATAAATATAGCTAATACTATACTCTTATTTATAGTACTTCTATATCCGGGTTTTAGTAACCTATATAAAGTACTATAGGAACTCGTAATATAGGTACTAGTATCTATTCTCGTATATTATATTATATTTAAAGAAGGCTATTAAGGTTAAGTAAATATTTATAGCCCGGTCTGTAATCTGCTCGGGTAAGAGGTTAGCTATAAAACAGACTATATATTATTTAGGGAAGTAAATTATAAGATATTAAACCGGAAAGAACTCCTAGTATATTAGGTATTTAAATAGGTACTAGAAAGCCTTTATAAGACCTATATACTGAGCCTAGAGATACTAGGTAATCTTATTATCTATTCCCGAGATAGTAATAATTATATAGTCTATTCTTTTATAAATATACTTATAAATATACTTAATTACTTATATGGATATATAAACCTTAATATTAATATATAAATAGAACTTCTAAAGAAGATACAGGTTATATGAAATAACCTAGTAATTATTACAGACGATTTCCTGGTCTAGAAAGCCTGGTTTATAGACCGTAAATATATGGCCATTATTCCGGTACTAGTATTCGGAATACCTATTCTTATAAATAATTATTATAGCCGTAAATACTTTAGAGAATCTCTTCTAGTATATAAGTAGGGCTATAGGCATCTTATAGACTATATATAGGGCTTTTGAATTATTATTAAAACTATATGGCCCGTAAGATATCTAACTAGTAACTATAGCTATAAGTTTGCCTATAGAATCCTATAATAGGTCTAGAAGCTCGGTATAAATAATCTTATTAACTAAATCAGGAGTTAAGAAAACAGTATTTTTCTTAAGGAATAAAAATAGATATATATATAAAAAGCTATATTTCTGGTATTTAATTATATAGATATGGCCTATATACTATCTAAAAAGGTAGTTCTTAAGATCTATAAGAAGTTCTCTTACTTTTAGGATAAAGATCTAGTAAAGGAAATCCGGATAGTTAATTACTTACTACCTATTTAAGAAGTAATCTGTAATCTCAGGCTAGTATAGGTTAGCTATAAAGATAATAAAGAAGTTTGGCTTATTAAAGTATTATATAATAGCTATTAAGTCTTAAAAGAGCTATTATATAAAGTAATTACTACTTATAAAGCTTAATAGAAAAATAAAATAATAGCTAATATTACTTATATAAATATCCTTACGGATTAGAGTATCCGCAAGTCCTATATAGATATCCGTATAGATATTCTATTAGTATAAGTAAAGCCAGTTAAATAAGGTAATCTTATAGGTAATATATATATTAATAATATACTATTAAAAGAGGCGGCTAGTATAAAAGAGCAGAAAAAAGGCTAGACAAATATAGAAATAGTATTAGTAAAAGACCTACTACTCGAGTTATATTTACTAATAGGTCCTATTATAGTCCTATAACTATAAACTATAGTACTAGCCCGGATTACTATACGGGAAAAGTAAAATATAATAGAATAATATATATACTATATATATAATATTAACTATATATATTTACAGATACTTGCGGCCTGCCTTATAGACTATAAATACCAGATTATAATAGCTTATATCCATATATTTATCCGGAATAAGGGCTATAACCTTATTATTTATTAGGAGATTCTTATAATAATAATTAGTATCTAATTTAAGAATTAAGTATATTTATAGATTAAGTAAGATCCGGAAATT